TACTACTACTACTACTACTACTACTACTACTACTACTACTACTACTACTACTACTACTACTACTACTGTCCTTTCCCCATTATTTTTTTCTTTGCTGTGAATATGTGTGTTTTGATCCTGTTTTTTCTTTTTGATCCTCTTGAATATTCTTTTGATGCTGATCTTTTTATTGTGTTTGATCCATCACCCTTCAAAGGGGAAATCACTGGAAAATGTGTTGAGATGTCAAAATCACTGAAACTTATCAGAAAAGGTATATGAAAAGGTGTGTTGAGTGTGTCTCGCAGAAGCCTCCTGATTTAAGGTTTTTGCAGGGAAACCCAAGCTGAACCGGGACCCCATCAGTTTTGGTACCAAAACCATCCAAAATCCAAGCAAAGTCAGAGAGTCTGAGGACATCCATTGGAACGTGATTTTATGAACATCCCACATTATGTTTTGGTGGCTACGCATATATAGCACATGCTAATACCCCAAGAGTTACGTGTGCAGCTGTTTTTGTTGCCTTTATACGTATATGTATTTATACTAGTTGCATGCTATATATATTAAAAAACAAATACAGGCTCCAAACTTTTGTATCCTGGGTCCCACCTTGTTCAGACAGAGTCCATCATGTACGAGCTTTGATTTTATCACTTGTTACAATGGTTTGTCCACTTTTGAATCAAATACTTAAAATTGCATCATGGGCATGGCTGCAAAAACTTTATCATTCCAGGCAAACCCAGCAGACTACCAACTTTACATGATGTTGGGTTTTCTGAGTGTTCCTGCACTTTTGGTCAAAACGGCTGAACTGGCCTTGGCGGATCTTCCGAGGCTTTGAAACGCCTTCCGAATCGGATGTTCGACGACCAACGTGCTCATTCTCGCTGTAAGGATTCACCACATTCGCAGCTCCGACAGCTACACGTTGCTTCTTCCCGTTGCGCGCTTGAGCTTCAAGCGCTTGGCCAGCCCTCAGAGCTTCAGCCGTGCCAGTGCCCGGCGCTTTCCCTTCTACGTGGACTCAGTGCAGACGGGTGCCAGGCTGGAGACAGCGATCCTCTGCCAGACGCTTCCAATGGGATCCATTGCCACCTTCTCAGAAGGTACTTGCACTGTCCAAGACGCCCTCCATGGCCTATGTAAAGGTGTTTCTGATCACCTTCTCAGACGGTACATCTATCATCGTCTATCCATGGGATCTATAAATATTCCATAGGGTCCAGGTACCTCTTGAGGATGGCCTTAGAGTCCAAAGTACTTGCTTAGAATGGTCGAACTGATTCGGATTTTCCTGGACGCTATATAACTACATATTTGTATACATATATATTATACACGGAATCTTTGCCATGGGAATTGTTGAGTACCTCGTCTTTGGTCGCTCGGTGGGAACTCCGGACAACGAAACCATTCCACGTGACCGGTGGATTTCCCCGGTCGAAAACGACCGGTGGAAGTTCACGGTGACACCGGGACACCATGTTCCTTCATTCACACCATGTTGTCTATTCCAAAAGTCGAGTCCACAAGTCCAACCGGTTTTGGAGTACCAAACCAGCTCGTACACCAGGTCGTCCAGCTCAGCTAAAAATGAACAATGTTCGCTTGTTTGTTCTTTTTGACCTGGGGGGGGAGGCCGTAGAGGAGGCCGTAGAGTCGTAGAGATAGCTAGGTAGCTAGTAGGGAGAGGTAGCTAATAGCTTAAGTAGCTGCTAGCATGGACGCAGGATAGCTCACGCTTCTTCAAAGAAGCCCGCACTATTCATTTGGTTCCTAGATTTTTAGGGAAACGTAAGCTTGATTTTTCCTAGCAGTAATGCCAGGAGCTACTAGTAGCGATGCCCTTGTTTACGAGCAGGAGACCCACCCCTTAAAATTGAATCATCCAGTGGGGTGGGGTTCCAAGTCGGTGATTCAAAAAAACATGCATGTTGGTTTATTCATAGCGATAGCGATGTGGTTTGTACTGGTCTATTATGACGATTATATGGAAATCAGTCTGGAAATCGATCGTACACATACCTCGAATCTACTGGCCTGGGCAAAAAGGGCACTCGTTGACGCGAACTATGTTTGTGTTTAACAATTTTCAACATATGTATTTAGAATTACCATAGGCACATACACGTAGAAACACCTTTGCACCTAGGATAATTGAATCAGAGGGTGGGGGGCTGGAATTTTCATTAAGGGGTGGGTGTACGAGCAGGTTGGAGCTCTCGGTGGTTCCAGCACTGAAGACGCGCAGCGGCGACCCGGACCTCTTGGACGCCGAGCAGCTCGCGGAGCTCCTCGGGCGTGAGCAGACCGCTCCCACCGGGGAGGAGCTGGAATCGAACATATCCGAAATGGGACAAGTGGACATGTTTATGGATGAATGTTTCAGATTTAGTGGATGAACCGCTCAATGGTCAGGGGCAGAGTACTTTCCAGGTGTTGCTTTGGTTTGCTTTGCTGGTCTTCTAACTTGTTCAGCAGTTGCGCAGTTGCTTGTACACATGATGATAATTGGCATGCTTCTTTTGGATGCATTCTGAAGTGTGACCACTTAAAGTGTATAGAGATACCTCGTCCTCCAACTTGTTGATTTTTTGTGATTGGTGGAGCCATAATGTCTTATCCATGTTCCAGAACTACTGCTCCCACCATTAGAATCAGTAGAAAGTCTTTGACATATGGCATTCGATCATGTTGTGTGTGTATCTCAATCCAAGGCACCAGTGGGATTGAATCCGCAGATTCATTTGGTCTCCATGTCGTGATCCCCCTTGATTTTCAGCAGAAGAGGGTGTTGGTCCAGATGTTTGAACCTTCCCACCCGCCCCTTCCAAAACCTCGCTGATCCCGCCGAGGGAGCTCGGCGCAGAGCTGGTGCCCTTGTCCGGTCGCCGGGGGAAGCTTTGCGTGCGCCGTATGGGCGGGCCTCCACTGCAGCTCGCGGCACTGGGCGCGCCACTGGAGGACCGAGCGTGTTTATTGTGTTTTTTGTTTTCTTTTTTTGCAGCTGATAGGGCAATGATAGGCAATGTCATGTAGAATCTTGCTCGCAACTTTGGACTTCCCTGTCTCGTCTTTTCGTTCTTAGCTTGGTGGCCCTCTGGGCCCTGGGGTTTGTCGCATGCCGAAGTGGTGGAAGCCACCGGCACAGTCTCTGCAGCGTGAGCGCGAGAGGTAGAAGAGGTTCTGCAATGCAAATGGGGTGGATTCTTCATCAAGATTCTACATTAATTGGGGGATATGGGGATACTGACCTAACCTTCAGGACCTCGGGTCCAAGACCCAAGTCAATTTTTTGGATGCATCTGATTGAAGCAAGTTGTCAAAAGTGATTTGAGGTCAAACTTAATTGTTCCCTGTAAGGGTTCAATGACTATAGCCTCCATAAATGAGGCTTCCGTGTGTCAAGAAAATTCGCGAGCTTCCCTGATCATCCATGGAGAGTCTACACAGCCATTAATGTGGTTGAACATGTTTTTTGTATTTCAACCGTGTTTTGAATGGTCAGTTCTTTTGGTGTGAATCGTTCATTTTCTCACACAACATTACTCCCGAGTACCTATTAAAAAGAAAAACACTGCCCAACTAAAAAACACAATGTCCTAAACCCTAAATGCGGTTTATATTTGTTTTTTAATTACCGCCCTTTCAAACCGCTACCAAACTACCAACATGGTCGATTTTTGGGGTAGTGTTTTTTCTTAATTAAGTTCCAAAAGCAACCCTAGCTGCCCTTCCTTTGTCCACCCTGTTTGTCCACCATGACACGCCGCGTTTACACCAGCAGGCTTTCCTTCCCCCACTCACGCAAATAGTTTTTGTAATTGAGGGGGGGCGTGTTTTTTAATAGATGGAAGGGATTTATACATTTGGCCGAATTTATGTTGAATTGATGTTTTTTTTGGTGGGTTTTTAACTTGCTTGTAAGCCGTCTAAAACACAGCTTGTTGGGAAGTCTCTCGAAGAGCTCAGGGGCTACTGCAGGGTGTTGATGTTGCATTGACATAGATTCCCTGTCCATTGAGTCTCCTGCTTGCTAGATTCTAGGTTGTACCTTGCACCCACGGTTGATGGAGCAAGTTGGCATGACCTAGGTCAGCCGAAGATAGGAGGAAGACCAGAGATGAGTTCACTTGACCCACGAGTCAGACTTAGAATAGCTCTTAGCGTGCTCGAATGGATTTTGAATTCTATCCCATCCTTATTCCTTGGATGGTGAAACCACCTGAAACCCAGACCAGCCCAGTGCTGGCTGGGTGTGCCACTTGGTGTGCCATTTCGATGAGAGTGTCATGGAGGACCTAAAGGACACCACGTGCATCACCTGGCTTCGATAGGCCATCTCCGTGTCTCAGGTGCTGGAGTTGATTTTGTTTGTACTGCCCGATTGCAAGCATGTCCATGATCAAAGTAGCTGCTTGACAGCACTGCTGGATTCTAAAATTCAGGGGCAGGGTCTACCCTTGATCTCAGCAAGCCGCCCACTTAATATATATATATATATATCATATACTTGTATACAGAGATATCCTTTATAACTATAATGGATATTAATTGGATATTATACAAATAGTATGATATTATATATATACACAGAATCACACAGATCTTCGTATGCGGCATTTCCACCAAAAATGTGTTTTACCGTACTGCGTAAATTGGAAGCCTGCAGCGATTTTAGCTTGAGCTGCGGCGATTTTCTTGGCTCGAAGTTGGGTGATTGGTGTCCATAGCTTCCCGTTTTGTGCTGCACAGGCCCAGCATTCTAAGCAACTTGCTCTGTTGCCACTGCTTTGGTGTTTCCATGTGTTCCCTTGCTTGGTGCCACGCCGTTTCAGACCTGGCCACTTCTCTTGATGCCTGATGGTGATGCATGTGACGCAGTGCTTAGAAATACGGCTTGTCTTCGAAGCTGTTGGTGAGTCCTCCAGAGTATCAAACAGTTTTCCCTGACATGTTTTCGTATTGCTCTCTTGACTCCCTGAACGAGAGAGGTTTGTGATGAACATTCAGCGCATGCAAGCCAGATTTTGGAATTAGGTCTTGAGATTCAAACGTGTTGTGTGACCTTTGCCGGAAACAAATTGCAGCGTAAATCGGCGTGATTGCTGCATGCAATAAATTCCAGCAATCAGACTTTGGCAACCATGGACACACTGAGAAGTCAAACTTTAGATGTGATTTGCAATATTTTTTGGGCTCCCAACAGTGCAACTATGAGCGCAGAGACTCTTGTAAGGGGTAGCCCAGTTCTAGGAAGTACAACAATGAGCTCGGAGAGTGATCACTTGTACAACCAAATGCAACAAGAGTTGGTGAAGCTTTGGGCGCCTCGAGCATGGTTTGTGTCCGAACTTGCAGCGCCATTTCAGACCAGTTTTTGTTGCTATTCGGGCATTTTCATGCGGTTATCGTTTAGGTGAGTAGGGGTGTTTACCTAGTCTTATTTTTGGGGAACCTAGCTAAGTGTATGCTTAAACCTGGTATAGGCGAGACAATGGTGTTGTAACGCAACTGTCCTTTCACACTCACCATCTTCCCCGTACATGGGATGTGGTGTTGTTTCTCCCCGTGCCTTGTTTTGCCTGTGACGATTTCCCACTGGAGACCCCCCTTGTAGAAGAAAATGGTCTTCCATGATCGTTGTAGAGGAAAATTATGGTTTTGTTGTTTATGTGTCTTTTTGCACACAGGTGGTGACCGCGAGTTGGGTCATCCCTTCTCCTGACATAAGTGATGTATTTCCACATCTTTGAGAACATCAAGATACCCCTGCCAGGAGGGTCATTCTTTTGTATTTTGTTAGGTGTAAAGTGTAAACAGTTCTTGTATGTTGTTTGTTTTTGCTATATGTTAGCCTCCCAAACCATGTCGATATAAATACCTTGAATACATATCTAGAATTATCTAGATCAGCTAGAAATACATGACATGCACATCTACGGTTTGATGTATACATTATCAAATTAGATATTCCATATATTAATATATCATATGCAGATGCGAAGATATGTGATATGCATGTGGATAGATATATTAGATCCTCTACATAGTCTCGATCGCTCCTCTCCGTTTCAGGAGCTTTGCCAATATATCAACACCAACTGGGTGGATGCCTTGTTCGCCCAGCCCACGACCTGGGCGCGGCTATTCGTGCACGTTCGCACCTCTCAAAGCTTGGAGGAGCGGGACGGCGTCCCGCAGCTAGGGTGGACACCTTGGAAAAGGTCACCCACTCTGAACATGTTGGCATGATCAAACATTTGGTAATTACATGTAATTACTGGAAAGCGGCACGATTTCCTAACATGTTGTTTTCCAACATGTTGGACCATTGTCATGACTGACCTAATATGTAGTATTCATGTGGGAGGAAAACACCCTTCAAGTTATCAAGTCCTTGCTTGGCTCGACTCGTTCTCGTCGACTCTCCTCAAAAGAATCGTCGTTCTTCACTCATCTAGTCGTTCATCCCACGTGCAAGGCCAGTCTGGGACATGTGCCGGGCTGTGGTGTCTTCACCCGGCAGCTCCACGAGCCCCTCTGCAGAGCTTGCGGAGAGGGCACGGCAGTGGGCTCGGAGCAGATCGAGGAGGGGGGGATGAGAGGGGTTGACCCGGCGGACGAACGCATGTTACAGGTTTCTATATATATATATGTGTCTATGTTTGCCTCTGAAGTTGGACAGCCACAATGAATCCAATGTATTTCTTGCCTAGGCGAAGTGTAAAGTTGTGCTGCCTTTGCATCTCCCGGCGTTTGGAAAGAAATGGTCCAAGATCTGCAATTTCCGCGCGAGTCGTGGCTGCGGTCCTTGCTGGGGTGAGTCGCTAGCAGCCAAGCTCCAATGGTGATTGTCCACTTCAAGAGTTGCGCCCAGCATGTTGATTCGTTGGTCCTTTTCTCATCCCCCGAAGCATTGACTTTCATCTCCACACCGGGTTGCTCATCCACCAGCATCGGACGTTTCACATGCTTCGCGCAGCAGACCTTTTTGGACCGTTAACTTTCACTCGCATGAAGCAGGAGACCTTGATTCCCCTGTGCAAAAGCTGCGCCGCCTTTGTAAAGGGTTCTGCTCCTTGGTTTGCGAACTGTGATGGTAAAAATCACATCGAGTGGATCAGGATCTTCCCAAACACTTCAGAAGGTCCAGAGTCCAGCGCTAGGTGTGCATTCGATGTAGACACATTTTGCTTGAACATTATAATGACATTATGTGATTGCCAGGAATCAGAGTGGATTTGTAACGTTTGGGTTGATTGTTCAACTGCAGGATTTCCATCCTTGGACCTGAGGAAGGCTTCTTCTCCAAGGAGAAGCTGGCACAATACACCTCGCGGCCTCCGCAGGACTGCTTTAAGACACGATATTCCAACACGAGACTTCAAATGAGTGAGGGCAGCTATGCAGCTATGTGGCAAGTCTTCAGTGTTGAATGAGTACTAAGTCACTATGTAATTGTTTTTGGCTGAACACCAGACTGTTCTTTGGTTTCTAGCTTGGCAGTTGAAGAACGTGGATGAACTGACATCAGAATTTTATTTGCTGATCTTTGGGCCCTTTACATGAGTTTGTAGGGAAGTGTATCCTTAAAACGCAAGATGACGATATCATGTGTTCCCAGTGTCAATAGACAGGACAGGTGTGTTTGGTGTCCCCACAAGCGACCAATTCTGCTGGCCACCACGTACCTCAAAATGTCGTAGGAGTTTGAAACACATTTTCGTTGAATAGAACACTCCAACTGGAGGGCCCACCATGACCAATGTTTGCCAATCATCTTGCAGGGATCCATTGGTACTGCCTTGAGAAAAACGGGTGTTGGAGGGTCTCACTACGATCTTAGGGCGAATTAATTTCACGCTTCTTACAAGTTGCTTTTACATTGCTTGGCTGTCAGGACAAACAAGCACCATTGGAACGCTGATTACATAAACTGAGCTGCATGAGCATGTTGTTGAAACATCCTACAACCATTGCTGGAAGCCGGTTCAAAGTTAAGCCTTTTCTCGGCATGTTCTGATCCGCCGACCTTGTTCGGCAGGAACTGCAGGGCGCTTTCGATGTGCAGCTGGATGATACCCTGAAAGTGCTCTCCTCCAACATCACTCCCAGCTGGCGTGGGATCGTGCCCGAGGACCCGACCGATGAGTCGGTGGGACGGAGGCCCCATATATCGTCCTTTTACGAGTCGGAGGATCATCCGGTGGCACCGGTGGACGAAGGAGAACGAGAGTGGCCGAGGCACCGGTCTCTTGGAATCATGTGAAAAGAACCAAATCATGGCTCAATATGGCTTAATTATATATAGGTATAGTCTCTGAAAGAGCAAGGATATAGGAGGATGTTCAGGGATCACTCTAGATCTCGGACTCCGCAGTTTGAGAAAACTACAAGCACGCGCACGTGACACACACTGCGCACTGAAAAACGCCAGGACTGTGCAGTGCTGGCTGCGGGTGGTTTACTTTCCTTGAAGCCGCCCAGACGTGGATGGCCCGAGGATTTGGAGAAGCAAGTTCATCGACAGCTGCTGGGCACAAATCGGGGTGATGTGCAAAGCACAAAACAATGAAATGGACAAACACAAAAAACATGCCGGTACCTGTTAGAAGGACGGGAAAATGGATGAGAAACTGCATTCTCGGGAAAAAATCAAGGACAGAACTACGACGTGGGGTTGTTGAGATGTGCTGAAATGAAATATGTTTGCTGCGAATGGCGAAAGCAGCTGTTCAATCTTGTTTACAAGACAGAGGACTGTTAAGGGCAACACAAATATAGTTTCCCTATTCAAAACTGTTGGACACAGAGTGCAACATGAACGGCAAAACGTGTTGAATACCTCCATTGAAATCCCTTCGAAACAGGCCTTCGTTCGATACAAAGACGATTGGGTACCTGCTTTAAGAAAACAAATTCACATATGTATATATTTTATGTCCAAGGATTGAAGACATATCATGAACATATAATATACAGTTGTTTTGCTCTGTTAGGAATTTAGGAACCTGCTGAAGATCCAATCGAATAGTATCAAAGTTCTAGCTGTAGATGCCGTTTATTGAGAACAGGCCGCGCGGACGTACATCAAGTGTGGAATGCATATATATATATATAGAGCGTATACTATTCAGTGATCCTACAGACGGAGTACTCATTTTGCAGCAATCCTTCATCACTATTGCCTATTATAGAGACTAATCTAACTAATTCTTACGTGATTTACAGTAAGAACTGTGTGCTCTGGATGTTTCATACCTCTTCACAGCTCTAAAGCTCCCTACAGCGCTGTACCGTCCCTTTCGACTCTGCGAGGCTTGGCATGGTCATTGGCTGCGAAGACGAGTTCCTGCGGATCACAGCCACGTCCACCGAGGCGGAGACGCCCAATCGGATGGTGGCTTTCGTGTTGATCCACCCTGCAGTGTCGCGGATTGGAATACACAGATCGGTGGGGAGACATGCCGACAGATCGAGATACGTGGGTTTCATCGGGAATCGACCATCGATCGAAGAGCCAGAGCGTGCAAACGCAGTTGCAGAATGTTGCAGACGAGTGGTTTTTGGATTTTTTGGAGAAAAGGGCAACGTGCTTTTGTTTCCAAACTTTATTTAAACTGCAGTTCCATGACAAGCCAAGATTCGATTTACTTCCATGAGGTTGATATAGAATACTCCTCGTATGTCGTGCATCCAAATGTATCCAAAACTGGGACCCTCCCAAGCACCCCAGAGGGTTGAGGACCCTTTTAAGGATGTCCTTTGGCCTCAGTTCGACCATTCTGAGGAAGGACTTTAGCCTCTAAGACCATTCTCAAGAGGTAACTGGGCCCTGTGGGTCTCCTATATGCTTGTGCCCAGTTTCGTACTTACTTGAAGATGGTTCTTGGGCAATGTGTGGCACTTCATGTTTTAAGGGTCCTTTGGCCATTCGCTCCAAAAGTTTCCAGAGTTGGGGGTCGGTCGCCGACAGTTGTAGCACTTTGGCGGAAGAGTCAGTTATACAATAATCTTGTAACATAGAGTTACATGCGGTATATGAATGTAACTATTCCATGCATGAATTGGGACTCAGCTGTTGTGACCCTTTTGTGCTCCCCCACACATCGATCCCTGATTGGACTCTGTAGACTCACTCGGCTTCGACAGACTCGTGCGTTGATGGTGCTGTGTTCATGTGTGTTTGCCGCCTGATAAGGTCTTGCAAGCAGGCAAAGAGGATCCCAAGGAGTTCATTGATCCGCAGATGCCGCTCCAGTGGTTTCGCAGGCAGTGGTGCGACTGGTTGGCGGGATGTTCTTGTCAGTTCCAGCTGGCAGGAGAGTCTCAGATTGATGCGGTATGTGGTACTATTCTAGGATCGGCTGCTTCTTCCCTTGGGGGTTGGGGATGCCACGGAGCAATCCATGGTGTTTTTGAGCTTGGAGATGCTAGGAGCATTGGTTTCCGGTATTCGAAAGCAGATGCAGCCGCCGCAGGATTCAGGTTGGATTCATGACAAACACAGAGAAGACGTGCAAACGGCACTTGGCGTTCCACTCTGATTCACCATTTGGTCATAGTCAGATGAAGACCCTCGCTACTAGGGTGGAGGCCATTGCTCTACCCAGAACCACCTCCAGACCGATCCTGGACCAGGCTGGAATCGGAGTTGGCACGGATGGCGAAGAACCAAGTGCTGCGGGTGAGGTGGGCGAAAACCGAAGAGGATGTGGCCGTTCCCTTGCTGCTGATCAGCGACGAAGAACGCCTCTTGGAACGGGCACGGTCTGGACGTGGACACTGGATCAGGTGATTTTGAGTTTTGGGAGTCTGGTTTCCAGAGTCCATCGAGCGGTGATGTTAGACTGGAGCTAGGCTTAGGGAGTAGGATAATGTTTGATGAATCAGCTTCATTCTTCTTGTGGACTTGTGGGGTTGTTTTTCTTTTTGCAGACCGCAGGTCTTAAACGGGAACACGTTTGTCGTTGTGCGGAGCCAGGCGCAGCCTGCCTTTCAGAACGCCAGTGGGTCCGAATGGTGAACCAGGTCCACTCACTCCGAAACCCGGGGGCTCACAGCAGCTCAGATCTGTGACCAACGCTCTTTGACGGTTAAGTCAAAAAGACACATACAGTTAATCACTTTCATATCACAAACTACCTTTTGGGGTTCACGTTTAATCCGGCAACAAAGCACCTCTTGGGTAGCAACACTACCATGGAAAAAACGACAACACCACCACCACCACCACCACCAACAACAACAACAACAACAACGACGATACTGGCCTTTTTGCATTCTCTTCCTAGGTGTTTTGCTGCCTTGCAGCCTGTTCCTCCTGAAGAACGACCATCCGCCGGTGGTCACTCCGACTCCGACTCCCGCGACAGCACGGAGAGCTTCCTCGATTCCAGGCTCGGGGCGGGGCGAAAAGGGTGGTCTAGAGCAGTGGAGAAGAAGCCCCTGGTTTTGGTGACCCACCGGTGGTTTCATGAGTTTTACATAGTTCTACCATGGTTTTTACCGAAGAACCATGAGTTTTACTAGGGATTTGACACGCAACATCACAAAATGGAGGGTCAAACACTTCTTTTTACAGGGTCTTTGAAGGCGAGAGTGACGCTTTATTCGGTGCATGTATGTATATATATATATGGTATTCGGGATATGAGGTTGGTGATGTTCATTTGCTGAATTATTGCATTGTATTTGGACTAGAGCCTTGTCATTGAAATGATCCAGGAAAGAAAAACATACAAAAACAGCTCATGTACAACCAGCATACCAGCAATATGGCTTTCCTTGGATGAGCCCCAAAATAGACAGAACATGTACACTCCCAAATGGCCCCAAGTATGTCCTACGAAGTCCAACAGCTTCTCATTGGCTTCTTTGACATGGCCATTCATTCATTTATCGCTTTTCCAACAACGGCGAGCACCATGAAGTTGGGTGCCTTTCCCAAAGAATCCCTGAAACTCGCATATCGACCTACATTGGGCAATTGTTGAGAAGAGGTCAATCCAGGTACACATCGCTCAGGGAGGAGCACAACGGATGTCACTCTTGATGGGGTCTACATGGCTCCTTCATGTTGGTGTAGTAAATACTTCAGTGAATTGATAGATGATAGATCTCCTAAAAGGTCCATGGCCACAAACCTTGAAATCAACTCTTCTTCTTGCTGATCTCGGGTGTTTTGGCAGATTCTTTGGGGCTTTCTCACCGACTCAAGGTCTTTCTCGAGAAAAGTGCCCATCTCCAAGCCGCGGTGCTCAAGGAGTTCTTTGATGAGCTTGGGGAAGTTCAGCATGTCATTCTTTTATTTCAGCCGTATAGGCTGCTGACCCACATCTTCCAAAGGTAGGAAGAAAAAAGGCACGGAAGTAGGTCAGGCCTTGTAGGAGCAGTTCCCTGATCTCTAAGCACCCACCCCAACCAAGCCGAGTCTTCCGGAATCCCTCGCAGTTCATACTCTGAAACGAACCGGAAACGAGATGGCCAGTGCGACCGCTGATGCGCGGCCGCTCCACCGGTGACCATGGACGACGGCAGCTCCAGCTCGCCGAGCTCTCAGGAGTCACAGCCAGATGCGCTGACAGAGGCAGAGCACACGGAGGCAACACTTCCTTTAGTTTTGACAGAGGAGCGCACGAAGATGCACGAAGTCTTCGAGAAGCGAACACGAAGTCTGTGGGAACACTATTTGTGGGTCTTTGACAGATCGAACTATATGGAATAGACACCAAAAATCACCAAAGCAATATATAATATATATATATACACACATGCAGCAACACATGTTTTTTTTTTTTCTGGTTCTTGGGTCCAAAGAGTTGTTTCCTGTTTCCACCTTGGTGTGTATTTATGCACCCGATTATTGTAGTTTCATTTTCAGCGTTTCAAGATAGGAGCAAATTCAGTAGTGTTTTAGAGCCTGGACATGTGCGAGAGTTGTGTGCGATTTCCACCTAGAATCCCCACAGCCCTTTAGACCAGCCTACGGGGAACTATTCATGGACAAAAACATGAAAGGTGGCTGCTTATCTGGCGCGAATGGAGATCTTAACGCCTGAAGCTATGAGGGCCACCCGTGCACACAAAGCCTTCAAAGGTTGTGCATGAGCACTGCGAAAGACCAATGCAGATGGCCTTTATGAGGAGAGTTTCACGAGCGAAAGCATCTCTTGTTTCTGGTCCCATTCTTGGCATGCATTGGATGAAGATCTTGTCGCTTGTGATGCGATACAATGGGTTGCCGTCAGTTCTGTTAGGTTCTTTCACTGCTTTGGTCATGGCGATCCTCGTCAGCTGTGACCTCCTGCCAAGAATTCAATCTGGTTCGGCACCGTGGTCAATGTGGACACTAGGAAGTGGCTTCGCAGCATCGGTGATCACATTTTGCTTTTGGCAGCCACGGCAGCTGATCTTTTTGGACCGGATTTGCATCAATGAGAAAGACCAATATCAGAAGGCCACGAGTATTTTTAGCTTGGCAGGCATTGTTAAAAGGTCAGATGAGATGCTAGTTCTGTGGATGCCACATGGGGTGATCGGTTGTGGTGTCTATTTGAGCTGGCTGCGTTTCTGAAAAGCAAAGGCGCCGGTGAGCAAGTGCTCTTCATCAGACCCACATTTCTTGGTCCATCTTCCATCGTACTTTTCATTGGAGCTTTTTTTGTGGTGTCGCCTGTGACCAGCATTCCGATGCCAGAGCCCGACCCAGCTGCATTTGTGTATTGTGTTGGTTTCTTTTTCTTCCTATTGGTCATCAATGCGTACTTCATCATTCCAGCCTTCCGCGCGTATTTCCGCTCAGTGGAAGCGTTGAAGGCACAGTTGCAGAACATCAGCTTTGAGAACACCCGATGTTTATGTTGCGATCTAGGACATATACAAGAAGAAATCCCCGTGCTGTGTGACAGGCGAATCGTCAACAAATGTGTGTTTATTTGCTTTGGCGGTCAAGAGGCATTTGAAAACTACGTGCGATCAGCTGTTCTGGAGACGGTGGTTTCAGGATTGCAGGAGACCATTTTCACCAGAGGGTGGAGCCTCTCAGTGTCAGTTCCTCTGCTTTGGGCCTTCCTCGATTTGACAGCTTCCTTTTTGGCTGGAGGCTATATGATGATGGCCATCGCTCATTTGATTGAAGGCTTGGTGCTTTGGCTCATAGGTGTCCCTTTTCTGACGGATTTGTGGCTTCTCTTTTCATGCAGGTCTTGCCAGCGTGGTGCTTCCACCTTGCTGGAGGCTCTAGAGAACCTGAAAGTCGCACTGGTGGGAGTTGCCTACTGCTTTTTTGCAGCTGGCTCTTGGATTCTTCTTTGCTTCACATGTCCAGTGCATGAACGTCTTTCTGGTACAGGAGTGTTTGCAGGAGCGTGTGGCGCACTGGCATTGTCTCAGTTCGCATATAGATATTTCAACAAAGCCCGAAAAGGGATTGGATCGCGTTTTTAGGGTGCATGTTGATTGAAGATGTTGTTGGCTCTTCATTTAGGAGCAGAGTCTTGAACAAACATGTGCAGATATTTGAATGCGTTTTTATATCTAAGGGAATAAGCCTTAGCAAACTGTCATTTCTCCAGCGAGAGGGCAGGCTGCTCACAGTGCTTGTAGCAGGACCAGCAGCAGCTGAACAAAAAGTGAAGTGCAACGCGGATCAACGCGGTACATACAGCCCCCCGGAAACTCCTGGCTCAAATGCCGAAGACCATTCTTAGCAAAGCCTTGTACAAATCTCCATTTGCGAATGGGATGATCCTTTTCTGTACTCAAGTGTCTACTGTCACCCTGCCTCACATACCTGGTACAGAACACGATTTGTGCGGACCGTAGGTTTTTGTGAGGGATGTAGTACTGATTTGGTGGAGACACAATACAAAATGCGTTGAACACTGCGAAGTGCCAGCAAACATAAGACGAATAAGATGCGGCATCAAAAGAATCCACCAAAAGAAGTGTATTGTCAAATCGGCATTCAAGCCACCATCCCAGACAAACTGGAGGTACAAACACATTTCCTCACCTCCTACTTCACCAGCCCATCAGTTCCGCATCTCACCCCCATCCTCCCAGATGGTTTCCGGGCGCTAAACTCGTGTGGTCTCTCCAACGATCTCGAGGTTGGTCCGTTGCCGAAAAGGTCCGTCCGTTTAGGCCTCGCTCCTTCGGCCTTCAGGTGACCTGGGCCTGGCACTGGATCAACTTCGAGAGCGTTTACACAGCAAGGAGGGCGGACCTGACGAACGAAGGCGCAGCATTGAGGCGGCGCAGCATTGAGCGGAAGCTGCGGACGCGGGCGGACCATTGTTCACCCGCAGTGGCATGACTCAGCGCCACCAAGGGTACATGAGGGTACCATGAAAATCACCCGTTGGTTGTGGCATGGCTTGAGAAAGAGTGGACATCTTAGTCAGTCAGACCTTCACCAATATGGACGTGTACTAGAACAGGGAGACCCTCCCAGCCAACGACCTGGGAAGAAGACAAAATAGGCCAGTCTACCCCTTGGCGTGTGATGCTGGGGTCTCCACAAACCGAAATCATTTAACATGACACACAGATGAGTGTTGTTTCATTTGTGTTCATCCACTTCTGAGCATTTTCTGACCCCCCTTAGCTCCCGGCCACTCCCTCCTTCCCAAGAACGGTCGCCCCAGGTGCAGCGCCGCAGGTCCCACCAGGCGCGGCGCGCCACGGTGGCAGAGCTCGCCTCCGGCGGACTGCGCTTGGAAGAGCTGCGGCGGCACAGTGAGGCAAAGAGAAAAGCGGTGGGGCAAAGGAGTCTGGAACAATGCGAATGTTGTTGTTGTCTCCATTGTTTTTGCAAGCGGTGGGGCAGTGGGGCAAACGGTTTTTGTGTTTGTCTCCATGCGAATGTTTGCTGTTTTTGTCTCCATGTTCGGACAGTGTTTGAAGCTTTTACAGTGTCATGGTGCTGAATATGTGCCAGTGGCGATGGGTGTGTGATGGATGGCGATGGGTGCGACCATGACTTTCTCGCGACCAGGTCGGGCACGACAGTCTGACCAGTCTGGTCGGACTAACTAACTGCGAACGGATTCAGCTCCACGCCTCCACGCTAATTGGCGTGCGTTTTGAGTGACAGAGCCTAAAAGTATCCCAATGTGTCATTCACCCAGTTACCCAGACTACTTAAATCAATCCATGTGCAATTTGCGTTTCGTTAAATTCAATGACATTATAATGCGCATTGGCAGACAGGACTCCACTCCACGATCTCTAAAGGCGACAAACAAGAGACAGCTATTGACATACTGTAGCTTCATGAAACTACGAAGTTTGCTTCACAACATCTTGCCTTGGAAGAACGCATGCAAACATGCAGACGCAGCTTGAAGGAAACCGGAAGCAACATCGTAATCCTGAATACTAGCAGTGACCAGCACTTTCTGCAATGGTGGTGGCAATGGCTTAGGAACAATGGGAACCGCAATATGAGATGTATGTTTTGATGTGTTTTGTGTTTTTGCGTCCAGTTTGTTGGACATTGCGCGATTGGCGAACAGTTTCTTTGTTACAAGGCCAAACAAAACTTGATTGATTGCTTTTGCCTTTGGAAGCAAGTCTAGCTAATGAGGAAATTGGAGGAACATCGAAAAGTCCATGTTACCAAGGAGTACATGAGTAGAACAATATCAGACATAGTTGGTACGACTTGGTTTATATAAATTGGATCTATATATACGCCAATTGACGTCCAGGCGCTGTTACAGGCACTGGAAAGACCGACTAGAAGGACTTCTCCCCCCAATGATGGAAGGACTGCTATCAGCTTCTCAAGGAGTCATGATGTCCTTGGAAGCTTCAATCTTGAAGTTGGATGAAGAGTGGAAGCTGATCCCGGAGATCAATTTTTGTTGAAGACATACAGCAGACACACATAGCCTGGTTCGCTAGATTTCACTAGAATATTTGTTGTGCCTATAGATTTAATGCTGATTTATATATCCTCCTGGTATCTCTGGCAGTTGAATCCTTCAAACCCACCCGAAACATGGCACGTTCTGAAAGGTTACTTGGTTCGCCAGGACTCAGGACATAAGATCCTTTGAGCAACTGCCAAAACCTCCGATGAAGGCAGCATCACTACAGTGAAGACTAGGTCAGACTAAGTAAGTACAGTGAACTGTAAAGTGAGGGAAAGCCTTCAGGAACGAGAAGGTTCACAAAAACAAACAAGATAAGGTTTTTGTACATGTCGTGGGGTGTGTCCAAACCGTCAGCAACGATAAGGTTCACAGAACAAAAAAGACAACAACACAATAACGCGTGCGCACTACAACACATAAGAGGTTTTGCACGTCGCTCATTCGCTAAGATCTTCGTCATTTTTTCACTCCATTCTCGGACTTCCAGCTGATCCCAGAAAATTGAAAGTTCCCTTGGTGACCTCAGGTGATGAACAACTTCTTGATGAATTTATCGATTTTTTTTCATTCTCACACCCGCTAGATGTACTGACAGCCAGGAACCACCCGGAGGTTACTTGATGCATGAGTCTAGTAACCCGGCCTATGTACTCAGCAACAGGAGATAACACCGTTATACCATGTTATACCATCCTTTAACCATTTGTTGAACAATTGGTTTCCCCTTAAACAAGAACCAGCGGGAAAGGATCACCTTTATTTTCCAGGGAAACTGAGGGAGTCAGTCACAGTCTAGCAACACTCACTCTGCAGCAGATTGCACATCGTGTCAGGCACTACCCAGAGAATCTGAGCCGCAAAGTTGGGGACCAACGGAAGTCGAGAACGACAGCAGGATGGGTCTTGTGAGTAGGTATTGCCACTAGCCGCAGTCTCTTTTTGGACCAAACAGCTGGAATACAATGGAATACGAAGACATGTGTCTAGGACTGATAATTCCTGTCCTTCGAATGTTCGGCAAGGGACATTTTGAAAGTCCGCAGTTAGGTCGCTTCCAAGTGAAGTTAAAAACCCACTTGTGTTTAAAGTTTAAACACACACATACATAAATCACAAATCCTTTTCCTCAGTAAAGTTTGTTTGAGGGCTATTCTGGTAGGAGGATACTGCTCTGCTGACCTTAGTGATCTCAGTCTTAAACCCACAGTATATGCTCGTGGCGTAGCTTCTGAACCCCCCAAATCAGTTCCACCGTGCTGTCCACGCCGAGGGCGGTGTCCACCGGGCCTCCTTGGCGCTGTCGCCGGTGGCTGAGCCCGAGGGGCCCGAGTGGCCTGAAGAGCCAGCGCAGACCAGCAGCTCATCATCCTCGAGTGCATCAGGATCCAATGAGGCTGAGGAAGCGCAGACTGAGGCGAGTGACTCCTTGCAGTTGATTGGCCAAAAAAAGACCGGAAATCATGACACGGAGCATTCAATAAGGATTAAACAGGAACGATGGTGTGTTGGTTTCATAAGCTACGTTGAAGACGTTCAAGTGGTTGAAACTGGACTGGCCAATTTGTTGCTTTGCAAATTGCCATTCAAAATACAAACAACTGAGGGGACAGATGGGGACTGGTGTATTCGAGTGTTCATTTGACCTGATGATGGAATTCCCTTCAGCTATCATAGGTAGGCATCTAGGAATACCAATTGTTCTCCACCTCCACTCGACTCATAGAGCAAGACCTTTTCCTGTCAGACACCTCGAAAACAATAGGATCATCAAGTTTGATGGCTGCCGGACAATCACTGTAGTTCATGCTTTTGGACACGGTCATCGCCAGCTGAAAAACCCGGTCGAGTCACACCTCGTATACGCTGCATGAAGCACGGCGTTTTACAGGCAGTCCAGTCGGCCCCGAGTGGTGGAGCAGCGCCAGCTCTGAGCGATGAAACGCCAGCGGAGGGGCCAGCGAAAGGGAGTGATGATGAAGGAGAATTGACAAAGTTGGATTCTGAACGGGTGTAGTCAGTCCACCAGCGATTAGAAAGACCTTGAGATAATTTGATTTCATCTATATATATATATGTAGCTGAAGCTGCAGCTTGCATGGATGTTTGCAGGGGAGCTCCTTTTGTAAGTTTACTGTAGTGGTCAAAGTTTACTTTGATGGGCAATTTGTGGTTGTGTATCTCCTGGTGGCATTGGGGGGTTCAGTTTCAAGTGGTGTTTTACTGTTTGACCTATTGGTCGGTGCCTTGTTGGCCACATCATACGTAGGCTCTGCATCTCTCCTGAGGAGCCGGTCGCGCTGGTCGTGTGTCTTCCGCTGCTGAGCCGGTGAAGAAGGCCTCCTGGATACAAGAAGTGGAGTCGAAGATGCAGATTGAGGAGCCATGTCAACCAGCACCTTGCCATCAACACTCACATCTCAGCAACATGTTCAAGCACCATGACCCCCGGTGGGGATAGGACATGGTGGGACCGCGAATCCTGCATTCTTAAGGAGGGACCAGATGTCTCACAAGACCATTGACAAAGAGATATATGCATTAAACAGAATCCACCAGCCTATATTGGGGTTGCCTGGCTTGGATCCTGAAAGATTATACTTGGATCTTGCTGAGAAGGATGAGCTTCAGACGGGTCTCAGCCTTCAGCCTCACCCCTGTGCTCCAGTTCCAGGTGGGATCAAACATGTCCACCCCAGCTTCATGTTTGATGCCTTCTGAATCTCGAAACATTCCAAAACTCCAAGATGGCTTGCTACTTATGCTTAAACCAAGGTCGATGTGTAGACTGGAAAACACATAAATAGCTGTCAACCAACTTTCCGAGCAACATGAGACAGCCGCAAATTACCTCATTGATGGCAGCCGTGTAGTTTTACCCCATCATACAGCCAGGGCAAAAGTTGGTAACAAGCTTGTGAGTACATAACCCACAACCCTTTCCCGTTAGGGGATCACGGTGGAATGCCGGCGGATTAGTTTCCACCCCGAAGTACATATAATATATTCTAATATATAATACAACAATTTAGTTTGCGGTGGAAACTAACCGGCCGCATTTCCATCGGGAAAGCAATGATTTCAATGACATTCTCGAGTGAAGTTGTTCCAAACTTGCTTCCTCCTGAAGTACAAAGTCCCGTGACCCGTGTCGCAATTCCCACATGTTTGCCAAAGTTTGGCCAGGATTCTGCACCGGCCCCTTTTTGTTGGCACTAATCAGATGGTGCGTGCGTTCTCTTCAAACAAGGGAGTCAGCTAATGTAGAACATAGTAGAACAGAGTGCCGTAGAGTCAAAGTCTAGAGTCTAGAGATACCCTTTCCTTCCAACACCTCCAACCTCACCTAAGGCACCCCCACACACCACCTCCGTGGCGGAGTCGCCCGTGCAGCGGGCCGTGCTGGGCTTCCGGCCAACCACGGAGCAGATGGCCAAACGTTTGTGTGACCTGGTACTGCGCGGCGCAGTGAAGGCGGTGGAGAATCTACTGCTGCGCAGCCCGACAAGAACTCGACGACGGTGAAAGGGCGAGGGCGGTGGAGGAGACATAAGGACAGCGTATTTTCGGTGGACAGTGGTACAGTAGCAGCTAGAAGGATCCCTTTTGGGGTGTGTTCAGCATCACGCATATAGATTGCATTGAATCCTTAGCCTGTTGATGAGTCTTATGGAGAAAGGATTTGGAGGCGGTGCGTAGTTTCAATCACATACGTGGCCAATGAGCAGAAAAATTGTATAACATTGTGATAATCCCTTTTTGGACGTATTTAACAAGATGAACCTCCATACAAAACTGTTTCTATGTTTGTTTAATAAATGTGTCCCCAAATAGGGGAACCTGCACAGATGGAAACATGGGCAGAGCTTCAAGACCGGAAAGCCGCCTAGGTTGTCTGCGTGTTTTGTTAAAACCGTTCATTAAACTTGTAACAATAACTGAATATAACACTTCCAGATCTACTAAAGATTTCGAGAGGTGATGTCGCTGTGCCATGCCGTTTGGCGAGGCCTCGGTGGAAATCGCGTTTGCGTGGCTCTGTGCCATTGGGGAAGGGTGCACATGCGTGTGTGACTGCGGTGATTCTGTAGGCACATGCCCCAAAATGACCTTGAGTATGGTAGAACGTAAAGGCGACATAAGGCGACCAATCAAACACAAAGATCACAAAGGGAGCTTGTAATCAGGGGTGTCCGACATGCTGAGCGCGAGCAGCTTGTTGACATACACCCGCTTTAAATTGCTGTCTCATAGGCCACTATTCTTTCGCCCGGTGTGGAAGCCAGTTCTATGATTTGATCCCTCAGTTCTTGCTCATCACATCGGACAAGTCTAAACCACAGTTTTTCGTTTGCAAGTCCATTTGGCCAGTTTTGCATAGTGGGCACTCACCTACATCCAATTCAACACGCTTCCCACTTCTGATCCCAAGTGTGGGTCTTTGATACCGAGAGGACTTTGAGCAAACCATGTAAAGGGAAGTCTACCTGGCAATTGGTTGATGCTGGCTGCAAAAAATTCTCTTTGGGGCCCAGTCTAGAGCATCCCCGCACTAGAATATATATATATATAGATGTTGTGGCTATCAGACACAATAAGGACGTGTTGTTTTAACGATGTCGTATGATGTAGTTCCGTCCCGGTTCTGAACTGCAACAATTACATGCTCTTCAGAATATCTTTGCCCTAGTTCGGATCCGCTCTCCCAATGATCGGATCCACCCTCCCAATCCATCCTCAGAAACGTATTTGACCAAGACACGAGGCCTCACCAGGCACGAAAGAGAGGTCTGGCTTCGAAATCCCTCCAGGTTGGCATGGCTCACCCTTGTCGATCCTCAGCCGCAGTCCGTGTTGCTCGGCAGCGCAGCAGCGGTCCGCGGCCTGCGCGGGGGTGCACAGGGACGACGGTTGTGTGGTTTGGTGGGTGGGTGAGGGCGTCTGGATTTGGTTGCTTGGCTACCGTATTCCTTCTTCCCTCCAAATTCTCGCCCAATCAAGATCTGAAGCCGAGGGTTTGGGGATGACAAAAAACTGTGCGGTCTCTTGCGGGTATAAAACGGCATGTAATTATGCAAGTTATCCTATGACAGGTTGTTGTGCTGCATGAAGTCTGGCCGGTGAAAGTCTCAATGCTGTACACCTGCAATTCTGCTGCGAATTGACCCCACAGGGGTCAGAATACAAACAAGTTTGCTCGCAAACTTGGGTCGTGACCCCTGACTCACAAGACAGCCAACGAGCAGACGGCCTGATCCATGGGGAAGGTGCAACACGGTGGGAATGGGTTGAACTTCTAAGTAATATTCCCCGTGCTCCGATTACCTCCTCAACAGGTGGTTGGGGGGTCTAATGAATGTGGTTCGAGGTGTAGGGTAATTATGTGTGTTTGCAAGATTGGACTCTTCAAAACGATCGGGTCGATGCATCAGCTTTGGCGCAAGTCTGCCAGTGGTGAGTGTAGGCTGACTTTATATTTCAGGTGTGTTTCTACACCCAATCCACCTCTTTGTTCATAGGGCCCATCAATCCTTATTACCTGAACCCGTGTACCCCCAATCTGCCACCTATCCGCACGAGTTGGTGTGGATGTTTTCTTATCTTTCGCCGTCGAGGTGGGCAAAGCGCCTTGGATCTCTCGGTGAAATCCTGCAACTATCACATGACCTTCGCGTTGCTCAAGCACCTGCCACCCGAGCTGCCAGAGAATCTCGTTGAGCTTCTGAATGGCCACAATCCAGTCACCGGCAGCTTGTAGAGAAGGTGACTGGAGGTGACACAGCCATTTTTTCAGGGCTTTAAGGGGGTCGCCAAAAGCTTGAGTTTTGACGTTAAAGGTGTTCCAGAGCAGAGGACTCTGGAACCAAAGGGTGTTTAATTGTTTAATGACATAGACATGACGCTATATATATATATGGTATAATATAGGTGTGAAGATGCTGGACCGGCCGAGATTCCCAGTCCCTTCTTTGTGGTTTCAGATCTCTCCTCTCCGAAGCAGAGAGGGGAGTCCACCCCCCGCCGCCGACCCCCCGCCGACCCCTGTGCAGTGACGCGTTTTACAATGTTTTCTGCTTCTTCCACTTTTCCGCTCTTGTGGCTCAAGATGGGTCAACATGGCCCAACATAAGCCCGAAAAAAGTGCCCAAGTTGGGCCAACATGGCCCCAAGATGGGCCAACATAGGGTCAAGATGGAAGCTGGGTCAAGATAACCCCAAGATGGGCCAACATAGCCCCAAGATGGGCCAACACAGCCTCCAAGATGGGCCACCCTAGCCCCAAGATGGTCGCCGAAAACCTTGGTTTTCCATTGGATTTCTACCACGACTGCAACAAGCCCTTTGCTTGGGCCCCTGGCCGGCTGTCGGGCGTAAGCCCTTAAATATGTATTCAAAACATATTTGTTTCTTAAAAAAGAAAAACTTAACAGAAAAAGGGTAAACAACGTGGCTCTTTTCTCCGCAAAGGTGGCCCAGCCGCACCCACAAGGCCCCAAGGAGCCAGTTTTTCTCCATTCCGTTCTACAAAAACTTGGGTCTCGATCAAAGTGAAGTATGTAGAAGTGCTATAGCAAAAATTGAAGACCAAACGGTTAAACATGCCAAATAGACCACTGAACGGGCAACTAGCTGAACACACTTCAGGGCCAGCTTTTGGCAAAAGTTGGTGGAACATGGTGGCACAGCTTCACCGTGTTCGCCAAGAAGCAGCTTCTGTAACAATGTTGCCTTCCATTTCCTGAGCGGAGCGCCAGGCACCGCCAGGTTTCTAAGAAGCTTAGACGTCACAGCCCGTAGCACTGTTAACGGAGGCTTAACAAAACCCGCCTTGGTGACAGTCTATATAAAGGTCTCAAGAAGCAACTAAATAAGGAAAGGAAAGGAAATAAAGGAGCTGCAGCTTGAGGCCAGTAGGGGTTGGAGTGGGGATGCTGTAAACCAATGCAACCCTTGAGGGTTGAACCCTGACATTCATTCGCCCAGATTGCTAAACGCAATCGGAACAAGCGCTGCGTTCTGTCTAAAGTTGTAAAACAATCAACACCTAAATCTGACCCATGAAGCTACTAGTAACAAGTGCATCGCTATTAGTAACAAAGGGCATCGCTACGAACGGAGCGATCGGACGCTATGCAAGTTGATGTTGGCCAGAGTTTGAGACACACGCGTGATTTACGTGGCACTGTTGGATTGTTGGAGGGAGTTCTTGCATTGTTCCAGAAAGTTGTTCCAGAAACGGTTTCCAAACCTTCTAAAGAGGAGCTCTTGATTCCAAAGTGACCTTTATTCCTGTCAGTATCAGGGTGCACTTTCAGGCTCCAACAGCCTAGCTTCACCACCAAGGCCACAGCCTGCTGTATGCTGCCGTCCGCTTCTCCAATCGCCACACTCAGCAGGTGACGGGGAATGGTGAGGGACCGGGGTGATCTTGACCAAACGCAAAATGCGCTGAGGTGATTTGCATCAATGATCATCGATTGATGTTAAAGAGGTGAGGTGATAAAGACATGTAAAGACTTCAAGTGTTATCGACCCAGTTTGACTATCAAAATGCCGGCCACCGAGATTTTTGAGAAGTGGACATCCAAAAGCTGACGAATAAATCCACAGAAACCTTCCGAAACACCTCATCTGGTGATCGGGTTGTACGTAGAAACAGCGAGTCGTAAGTCTCCCCACCGTTTTTTTGTGGACCGCATAGAACTGATCATATACCACACAAAAGTAGTATAGTGATTAGTAGTAGCAGCAGTAGCAGTAGTAGCAAGCAAAGCTGGCAGCTTCGATCCACAGCTCCCAAATGCAAACCAGCTGCATCGATCCACGGAGCAGCATCGTGCCTGGAAAAGCTTCGGCCGCTCGCAGGTGGTCCGTGAGCTCGTGCTGCGACGAGCCGACCTGAATGCTCCGGGCAGCTCTCCGAGTCCTCAGAGCCACTGGGACGGAAGGGGCGCAGGCGGCGGAGGCGCAGGTGCGAAGAACCAGCCCTGGAAGCATCAAGACATACCCTGGAAGCAACTGCAGGCCATGGAAACGACAAGAACATCCAAAAACAAGTGTCGGAATGCTTCCTCTCAGGTCCAGGGCCACCTGAGATAAGGAAAGCCATGATATCGTGTTTCCAGGCTGTGCCAGCGTGTTTTCTTCCATCAAAACGGGTTCAATAGTTGCTAAACATGTGTAGCTCAAGACATGAGAGACGTCCCAGGCGTCCCGACCCGTTCCGTTAGGAAAATAGACCAGTCTACCCCCAGGGCCGATCGGGTTTTATTCTGCATGAAAACACTAGCTCATGTTGCTGTTCCTTTGTTTGAGGATGCTGTTCCATGTGCCCATTGTACATGTGATTCCTGGCACCTGAGGCGAGTGTGCTCTCGCCTGCTGCGTTCGCCGCGCAGACGTCGCGTTGGTCGAGCAGCTCCTGGCGCAGCAGGCGGCGGTGGACGCCTGGGGTGATGATGGCCAGACGGTTTTGCAGCAGCTGGGCATGAAGTCCGATTTTAGTTTCTGGTTACTAGAATGTAGATGCATCATCAGAATGATTCAACTGTAATTCAAAACACTTGTTGTTGTTGTTGTTGTTGTTGTTGTTGTTGTTGTTGTTGTTGTTGTTGTTGTTGTTGTTTTAACGATATGAGCTAACCAGCCTGCAGTGCCACTGCAAAAGATACAGAGGTGTTCGATGGGGGCCGGTGCGATCCAGTGAGATGACAGTAAAAGATACTAAAGGTGCCTCCAAAACAGCAAGGACTCAGTGGAGTCACTGGTGACTGTCAGGGGAGTCTCTGGTGTTTGTAGGAGTCAGCTTGGCTGGGCAGTGCTCAGGGATCTTTCGTGATGTTTTTTGCCAGAGACTCGGAGGAGCAGTTCCGCGGAAAAAGGGGCAGACTTTGATCAGGAAAAAGGGCACCCTGTTTTGATGATGCCATGGGCCCATGAAAAGACACTCGTTCAGTACCGTTCAGGACCCCCGTTTTGTCTAGTTTAGTTCTGAGGATCGTCCAAAGCACCGCTCCAGGTGGATGTCCACAAAAAAGGTATGGAAGGTAGGTGCTGATATGTGCTGATGTCTTTCATGTGCATTGACTGTGTCCCCTTTGTCCCATCCCTCATGGCTGAGGATTGCAGTGGCTCGGGGTTCTGAGGACATTCTTAGTTGCCTGGACAAACCGCAGCGAATCGTCCATTTCTTCTGATGGGATTGCAGTCCTTGAGAACAAGATGTTCCTTTGCAAACCACTGCCGACCACGGTCTGATTTGAATTAAAGTTTTTGCATGGTAAAGCTAAAGCACGTGAACATCGACTTGATTACAGAACGCCTTTGCAAGATGTTGTGTCATAATGTGGCATATTCCTTTTTTTGTATGATTTTCTATGTTTGTGTGACTTTTTCCATGTTCAGGTTGTGATAGCTCATTTCAAGCATACTTTACTATACGTTGTCAAAGGCCATCACCATGCGACCGAAGACAGATCAACATCTCATCTTCACCGGCCCTTCATCTTCAAAGGACCCGGGGGTCCTTCACCTGAGGTTCTCTTCTGTACGGCCCTGTGCCATGTGACCCCAACTTGAGGGACCGCTATGGCCGGACCGCCTTGATGATGGCTCTGCAGAAGGATCGGCGGCCACCCTATTCGCTCGTGTACCAACTCTTGATCGCCTCAGCGGAAGTCGAGACCAGCGATTTGGAGGGGAAGCTTGGTGTGAGCAAGTGTATTCATGTGCATGCCGAATGATGTGTTCTTTTTGAGGGGAAAGACCAAGGGACACGAGTTAGGATCGCTCAGAACAAGCCTCCTTGCATGACTGGTGATGGAAGCCTCCAAAAGTCAACTCAGCCATGAACCTTCAGGCCAGGGAGGTTTAGGTGCAAAGATTGGCGTTCCCGTGTCTATAAGCTCTCTCCTTTCCACTTCTGGCAGTCACCTCCAAAGGGTCCGGAGTCCACCCAAAAAAGGGGTTATGTGGCCACCTTTTTCTTGAAGTTATATATATATATATATAGTGGGACAGTTGGACGCTCCTGTCAACCAATCCAGTCATCTCAAGAGGAAGTGCCTTTTGGGGGATCCGGCCTCCAGAAACCCAACAGTCACCTCAAAAGATCTTCATCTCGGGGTGTCTGTGGTGTTTCTCCGCCTTAGGAGGCAGCCCTTGTCCTACGCGGTGGGCTTGGGCGATTCTGAGCCCTTGCGAGCGCTGCTCAACCGCCAAGCTGATCCCAATGCAGTGGCCAGGCCTAGAGCCGATCCTAAGGGGCGTTTGCTGTGGCTTGGAGAAGATGAGGATACCATGGGAGACCTGGAAGGCACCGTGAAAAAATCGCATGGAAAAAAACATGCCTTTTTTGAGGCGCTTGCTTGTGAAAGCACTGAACGTTTGGAGCTGCAAATCAACGATCCCAACCCCCACAAGAAAAAAGAACCACGAGGAAAAACACATTTACACGAGATACATCGGACTTGCATGGAATTGCATTGAACTTAGTTAGGATCTAGGCATGGGGACGCTGGAAGGAGGTAGTTGTTGATTCCAACGATTTGAAGGGTTTATATGAAGGTTTGTGTAGGTGGTGCAGAATGCTGTTATGCTTTGCATCAACACCAGCACTTATTGGGGGGAAACCAACTTCAGACAGTGCTCATTGAGCGTTTTGTTGTTTGGGAACCTTTAATAGCAGTAACAGCGGAATGACTTAGTGAATCCTTTTGAGAGGGCAATAATGTGGCCGGAAGGTGACTGGACCTCCTTTAACCGCCCAAATCTGCAGTCCTTGCATTTCCAGCTTCTGGCTACAACGTGCTACACGGCTACTATCGTCGAGTTATTTTCAGCTCAAAGTGATTCCTCAATCTGCCTCAGCTTGGGAATGTGGACGGACTCCGCCACGCCACGTGAGGCATGCAGCGGCAGAAGCGCGCGATGAAGTGCTGATTCGCTGCCTGATAGAGGCGCGTGCCGATGTGACTCTGGAGGGGAAGCATGGCCGAAGCCTCCTTCATTTGGCGGTAGGCGAGACGGATGGGGACGGGGGTTCTGCAGGTTCGGTGCCATTGGATGGAGTGCGTGGGAGTGAATTAATTAGATTCTATTTGTAGAGAAGTTGGAAAACAGACAACTATTGAGATGTGCATGCACTTGGGTTTGGCCAAGGGTCGATTCGGGGAACACGAACCATGTCGCCGAATCAGCTTTCCAGGTCCTTCCCTGCACTGTTTTTACAGGTCCTGCAGGTGTTTTGACATTCTGAAGACCTACTAATTGCCAACTGGGTGTACTCCCGGTGTACAACCATGCCCAACCATCTTCGACAATGTCTACTTCTCGCTTTCCGTGGGCCACGCCGAGTCCCGAGCTCGCGCGAGGCCTCGAGCTGTCCGAAGACACGCTGGCCTTGATCCTCGCGCACCGCGGCGACCCCAACGCCTCGTGCGGCCTGCGCGCCGGGGGCGAGACGGCCTTGCGCCTGGCCGTGCAGGCTCCATCGGGCAAAGGGGCTGAACTCCTGCTGCATGCACGTGCCGATGTGACGCTGGGCGCACCAGATGTTCTGCGAAACCTCGGTTTTCCAGAAACTCATTTCCACAATGTTCCACGCAAGAAAGGAATGTGCTGTGACATGAAGCTATTATGGAGGGTCTTGGTCAAAACGGTCAATGTTTTCATCACAGACGGTGCTTTCTTCTTCCCAGGCACTTTTGCTGTTTTTCTACCAATTGGTGACCTGAGATCTTGACCCAAGGAATGGATGCAACCTGGCTGGCTGCTCGGCCCTCCATGCTGCCTGTGTGTCTGGGAATTCCTGGACGGCCCAAACCCTGATCTCCTTCGGCGCTGATGTCGCCTCCCTCGAGAAGCGCTGGCGATCCACGTTGGCCGCGGGCACCGCGGTGCCGGCCGCACAGGTGTCTTCCACAAAGCAACCGTCGATCCAGGCGAGATCACCTGAGTCCCAGAATCTGATTCTGCGAAGTCTAAGTGAGTCTTGTTGCCGTTAATCCCTGCCTTCTCAACATCCATGATTGATTCCATTTGATTCCTGTTTCTGCGGGTTTTGCTCGGCCTGGGGCCATTGGCAATCCCAAAGGGAAGCAGCGATATGCACAGAGCTGTGCCCCAATCTCACTTAGGCCAAGCAATTTCACATGCCCAACTACGAACGTCTTGTATGCACGTTAAAGAACACCCTTCCAAAAGTTCACAAGTTGCTCGTCTTTCCCCAACCCAACATGCTGTTCATGGAACATTGGAACATCAGTGAGTGGACATGGCTTCTCGGCAAAGGATGCTTTTTCCTCGGGGCTCCTGGCCGTACTACTAGGAGCAAAGGACGACTCGTACTCTTTGGACCGAACCCACCGAGAACCGGCCAGACGACCATCCATCCCATGCACCTCGCTTCCACCTGGCGCCGAGCACGTTGGAGACCGCAACAGGGCCGACCACGGTTCTTCCACACAGAGGCCGGGGGGGTTCAGTGGGTGATGTGTCCGTGAAGGATCAGCACTTTTGTTGAAAGCATTGTTCATCGCGGATTGTGCATGGTTTGTGAGCACGTGCTGGTTTATGTGTAAGTTTAGCCAAAGTGTGAAGTCTTTTTGCTGCCCAAACAGCCAGAAGAACGAACACAGGACTTCAGAGGATTCTCATTCGCTGATGGCCAAAGTTTGATGGCCGAGGCAACACCCCGGACCCGATGAAGTGAAGTGAGACATTCCCGAGCCCGTGTTCGATGAATGTATTTTTGTTAGCACTTGGGAAGAGACTAAATACGATCCTCTTGAGGTGCATCGCTACTAGTAACAAGGACGCTACTAGGGTGGAGACCAGCCGCTATTAGGTTGGAGGCCGTTACTACGAGCGTAGCAAGGACGCTACGAACGTAGCTTTGCTCCCGTCGACTCGTCGCAAAAGCAACTAACATTTTTGTTTGCGAGGAAGTGAAGGACTTCGACCCTCTCTTTCCCTTCAACCTGCCGCCCATCCAGAAGCTTCGTAAGACCCGGTGACGAGCTCGCCTGAACGGCGCAGCCTGAAACCATCCACAGCCTGATGAAAAGGCACCTCCACACCTGAGTCTTCAACCTTTGATCATAAATGAATCTTTGGATCATTTTGGATCTTCATGATCTTTCTGACTTGAGACTCTACAAGCTGGCTGGCACTGTTGGAGTTTTTTCGTCCGCGTTGGATGGTGGCGGGCTGCAATGACTTCTCCATTTCTTGATAATGCAAGGACCGTTTGGCAGGTTTTGCCTTAGACTCAAAGTGGCCGTACTTTCATGCTGAAACTCCCTCACTCGCCATATTGGAGCCATCAGAGTTCATGAGGTCCGATGTTTTCTTTGATCGCTGGTGGATGAAGACCGTCCCTTCTCCAATGAGAAGCAGCACAGAGCGAAAGCGGGTAAAGCCTGCAAAATGAGAGCTGCAGTGGAAGCTACGGGACAAAGCGATGACACTCCAACTACTAGGAATCTATGGTGCAACTGTAGAACAGCAGAAGGAACTTGTTTCACAGTCAAAGCATCAACATGTTCTTCGGGACCAAGCGGGTTCATGGGCTTGAAGCTATTTAAGCAAAAGAAAACGGACAGAACATGTAGCATATCAAACCTGTTCAGAGCGAACCCCTGAATCCATGGTTGAAGCTGTCACCAGAGTCTTAGCTACCTAGCTCTTTGCTGGGTACATAGCTCGCTCGAAGACCGCACAACAAGGCCAAGCAACAGGCTATGAATCTCTGGAAAATGCACACAGCAGTACACGGCTAACTAGTGTTACCATAATATTATACTGAATACTACAAATACTCGCAATACAACGGTCAACAACAACTTATGCTACTGCTCCTAATATTGCTACTACTGCTGCTACTGCTACTACTGCTATTACTGCTACTGCTACTGCTACTACTGCTGCTACTACTGGTGAGGGACATGGACAATATGATTCCAGACTTCACTCGTAGGAGCCACGCTTCCAGCCCATTTTCACCACATGCCCACCACATGCCCCAACGGACCGGCTCGGACCGTCTTGGCCATGTGTGGCTCTTCTCGCCGCACGTCGAATCTGCCCAAGGATTCATTTGCGGAACCCGGAGTCACCGCCACCTGAAGAGTACAACTACTGGAAGTCCTGGAGCTCAGACCTGTTTAACAGCAGTTTTGACTCGAGCCCTCGCGGACCAGGAAACCCTCTTCCTGCCCGCAACCAGTTGCCCAATCTGACAGTTGGTAACCACATGGAGGGGTTTAGCATCATGGATTTGGGAGGATTGATGATTGACGCTTGTGTTTAGAGTGAGTGTCAGCATTTGATTATGTGTGTATGTTTGCTCATTGTTGATGACTTTTGTGCCAACTGATGTGAATCCATGCAACAAAAACGATCCATCCTGGTCCGGTCTAGAGGATCTACTTGTGCAATGCTGTCACTTTTCCCACAAATGATCATTCAAGAACTTGCTTAACATTTCCTGTGACACTCCGCACGTCAGCTCAAACAACAAGATTCGCAATATAATATAGCGTATCATATAGCAAACGCTTGTATATATTATCCTTTGAGGTGCACAACTAGAGACTACTTCCACTTGCTTCAGCTCGTGTCGTTGCTGTCTTTGCCTTGACATGTGTGGCGATGGTCATGTAACACTTGGCAAAGTCAAAACCGACTGTAGATGATTGCTTGCAACTGAAAAGATCGCCGAGTCATAGCAGTTAATGATGAAGACTTCTCCAATTTCTCCAGCTCAAAGAGTCCAGAACTGGCACAAAGTAGATGAGTTCCTCAAATCTTGATGATCCCAAAACAACGACCTCAACGACTGACCGAACAAGACTCACCAATTCGCATCGAGCCTGAGAGCCTCCCCGCATCGCCATGCCGAAGAAGGGGGTGGAGCTCGGCCAGGTCGCCCCGCGCATCGATGTGTCATAGTGTGTGGGTCAGAAAGTCATTGAAAAGAAAGAACGCTGGACAGAACGTGGCTGTAAACCCAAATTTAAAAAAACATCAATCTATATACTGCTTCGAAGTCAATGTTGGCTTGGTCTACAAGATTGACCGTCGGAACACATCGTTTCTTTCTTTTTCAGCGAGGAGCGTCCGAAGGGTTAGAGCGGTCGAAACGTGAAACGTGAACATCTGTCCAACCGGCTGAGACAGACAAATACCCTTCGAATTTGGTCCCTCAAGCCCTCAGGCATCTGGACGGGAGCCTTTTGGTGGAGGGCATGATCAGTGGTTCCCGCTCCCTCCCCTTCCAAATCTGCTTTTATCGCATGGGCGAGATGAAGTAACGGTCCAACCGACGGATTCGTTTCATGGAGCATAAAACCGGCGTCATCCTGATGGGCTGTCCAAATGGTGCATAAAACGGCCTTATCAAAAGATAAGCAGTTTCAAGGTTCCTTCATTTTATAGAAATAAATTGAACATCCTATCGCTATTTATAGAACGCTTCATCCTGCTAAAAGCAACATAACAAATGCATACAAATACAATTGTCCCTTCTCAAACCCTCCTTCCTCCCAACCTGTGCCAATTTCGAAGGCGAAGGCCAAAGGTACCAAGCGGAAGCACGCAGAGGACAGTGACCGCCATGGGGGTCGCTGGTGGCGGCCAATGAGGTTCAATTATCATGATGTCATGTCCCCCAATGAGAGGAGAAGGCACTAGACTTCCAAGTGCCAGGGGTACTCAACCATCCTTGTAAAGTGCTTGGCTTGACCTGCTTTTTTCTGGCCGCCCTGGCCATCCTGTGGCCTACGAAAGTCAACTCAACAGAGCATACTTTGTGACACTCTGTGACTTCTCAATATTGATTCACTTCGTGGAGTGTGGGAGTTAGATCGGCTAGCGGCTAGATCGATGAGGATTTTGTGATTTTTGGTGGGACATCTCAAAAACTTGATTAGCATGAATATTACTTACATGCATGTTTACAAAAACCAGTAATGGTCAATGAGCAAAGACAAGAACAGAGTCAACAGAGTACTCGAGACTCACAGAGAATCAACCTGAGTCAGGACAGTTGTGTTGAAATGAGATAGATGTTGTTGCGGGATGTAAACATGCTTAGCGACCCTTTGTGTGAAACCGTCTTTCTACATTGTGATGTGTGCTTGGTGGATGATATCCTCAAAGACTCTTAGTAAAACAAACGTGGCAGTTTTGATGCACACTTGCACACATTTGCTTTACCTCGTTTTGCACATACCATGAAAACAACACATACAGAGCAGTGCATAAAAGTCTTATGGATGGATACGTGTTGGTAATTAAACAGCAACAATTGAACAACACAAAACTCAATGAATGCAACTTCAATCTCAATCAACCATGCTTTTATCAACCGCAAAGACCTTCATTCACATGACATGAATCAAACTGTATGTGCAGAAGGTGAGACTTCCAATTTCCAGGGTTGCCAGGGCCAACATGGAGAGAAGGGCTAATACATTGAAGATAAATGGAGAGGAGCCCAGTGGGACCTCATTTATGACATATTGAAGGCCTCAAACTTGTTTCGCAGAACCTTGATTCATGTTGTTTGTGTCGCAATTGTCGAGGATGACTACGCGATGGTGACTCTAAGCATTGCACAGAACATCACAGAACCACGTGTTTGCCAGACTCCAAGACTTTATACAAAACCAGACTCCAAGCTGCTGGTTTCTACTCCAATCTCGCACATTGTGGCTCCTTTTTCGGGTGCAGGACGCGGAGGACGGGGCCAGCCAGGCTGGACCATCGTCGAGTACCGTGGAATCTCAATGATACATGGGTGTGTATTTTATTAAGGAGGTCTCCGAGGTCTCCCAATGTTAATACACACTCACATCTGGATCTTACATGCGCAAAGACTAGTCCTTGACAAGAACATGTAGGAAACTGGATCCCTTAATCATGCTTACTGTGACCTTTTTGATCAAACGATTGACCACGATAAGTTCAGCTGTCAACTTGCATGCGTTTGATGGCTGCTGGTTGATTTTTAGGGTTCGACCGGCTTTATGGACAAAGCCCTGCACGGGCCGAGTAGGATTAACTCTCGAACCACGCTAATGCGTCCTGCGCGTGTCATTAGCCAGGATTTGGGAGTCCAAAATCCAGGCCTCCTAGGCCTAGGCCTTTCGGAGCTCTTGAAAGCGCGGCAAGTCATTTTCTTGGTTCTCTCCGCACCTTGCAGGCATGCAAGGTCTATTTGCAAGGCAGGATTCCTGGCCGGATGTTGCTGGTTTGACCTCCAGTGCCGGGTTATGTTTCAGACATAGGGCCTCAAACAGGCAGTGCTGTTCGACGTGTAATCACTTTTGCCCAGAATCATGCACGAAGGTGAACAAGACCTAAAGGGTTCATAGCTTTGAGGCTGGAGGCGGTATGAGGCGGTCAGGAGCAAAAGGGTGGATAGCAATGATCAAGGAAAAACGGATTATGGACATGGAAGTGCATCATCCATGTCCACTAGATGCCTGCAGTATCAGGTGAATTGTGTGAAATCTGAGGGGATAACCTTTGATGGGTGGGTGTACTTTGAGTCTTAAAGATCATAAATACTTGGGAGGTACTTTCAAGGACCATCCAAACAAGGTACCTGGACCCTTTGGGACTGATAAGAAGATTCAAGAATCTGTGAGAGAACCCATCATCCAGCCTGCCAAACGAGCGCACGCACGAGTGCTCCAAACGCATCCGTGAGGCATCCCACGGCTTTGTCAAGTGCAAAGCATTAAGGATCGCTTCAGCCAATATGGAGAGATTCTGGACTGCCTGAGCGCTTTGAGTGGGTATATGAGCCAGTAGTATGTATGAGCATCAATTTGTGCTGCGACACCAGCGAAATGATGCATCCGTTTGCCGTGTTTGGGTTCTGTTTTTTCTTGCTGAAGATGTCGTTTGGGTGGGGGGTAAGATGTGGCCAGATCTTGTGAGGACATAGGGTGCACACAAAGGTGCATTCTTCATTGGGAAGACATTCAGATTTCGCCATATGCTGGCCAGGCACTTTGATGTCTCATGGCCCATACCCTGGATGATTTGCCCATTTGTGCGAGCCCAAATCTAGACTCGCTGAAATAGTCATGGAAGTGACAAATTGGCTCCTGGAAGACCATTTTCCTCTGCAAACAGATGGTTTTCCCCTTCCATTCCAATGACTCGGAGAGTATCCTGAGGCAGGCTGCCTATGAATTATGAGGAACTCCTCCAGTCAGGTGAAATTCATTGGGTTTGCCTTGGAATGGAGCCCTGGAGGTGCCGGGTGTGTCTATGTTCTTCTAGAGCTGTGTACGTCTTGCGTTTTAGTTCCATAACATGTCTTTTTCATCCTTTTCCATCGAACTTCTGGAAGCATGGCTCTCAATCTCTGTTGATTGTCTTAGGGTAGAATGTACTTCTACCACTTCATTTTATCCATCTCATCCAGCTGGTGAGTCCCAACTTGCCCACCTTTCCCACCCATACCGTGGAAAACGCCGTTCACCCCGTCCTTTCGCTGGCCGTGAGGACCGCCCCGCAGAACACGAGCGGGGCGGTCCTGATTCACGGTCCTCACTCGACCAAGTCTCGGAGGACGTGGAGATTCCACCCATGCGGCGGAACAAGTCGAAACGCATCGCCTTTGTCAGCTTCGTCAAGGCCTCTGAGGCGAAGGCGCCTTACGCTTTGCACGGATTCCGTGGGTCCGACGACGGTGTCTCCATGTAGACGAGGAAGTCACTGTAAGTTAGATGGTTTACAACAGAAGTGACAACAAGGGGTGACAGCAATGTGATCAAGCGCCCACAGAAAAGTCTTTGCAGATTGAGGTCTGTTTTCAGAGGCTCTTGGGTGGTACAATCTGTCAATTCTCTGGGCCGTGAACCACCGTTTGCTGGGCATGCCTTCGCTTTGACCTAACGGTCGCATCCTTCGGCAGGCGGCGCTTGAAGAGGACGAGAACGACTTCGAAGGCTCCACGTTGAAGGCAACGAAGGACGCGAGACGCGGCCAAGGCGGTGCCGTTCAGGATCGCCCTCAAGGGCGGATGGCACCGTTGAGGGTTGTGAGGACGAGAGACTCCCAGCACCAAGACATTGATATGGTATGATATCTGAATTTTGTAGTTGGTTTGGGTGTGTCTTAGAGTATACCAAATATCAAGGAGGGAACTTTGTGTGCAGTCCTAAGCAGGCTGGACTTCTGGCAGCCAGGACATCTGAGCCCGTGGACTTGGAGTGTCAGCGGCTCTTGCAGTCGCTTTCGGTGGCGCTACAAGTCGAGAACGCCAGAGCCGTCCTCCGACGCCTGAGCTGAACCTGCAGTTCCACCACCTGTCTGCCTTCATTCCTCGTTTGCTGCTTCGCCCTCTTCTGAGCCTGGCTCCGCTTTCTCCTAGCCTGCGTCTCACCTTTCCAGTGCTTTCTCACTTTCTGAACTGATGGTGGAAGGCCGCTTCCCCTCAAGGTTTTGCTGTGGCAGGCCCTTTGTCTAGCGGGTCAGCCCCCCTTGAGGTCTCGCAGGTGTGGCCCTATGTTACCTGCTGCGCCCCCTGCCTGTCTATACCATCCTACTAGCGCTGTGTAGATACCAGCTCCAGCAATGTTTCACCGTTTATTAAAGTTGATGTGTTTTGATATCTACGGTAACCCATCATTAGACACATATTAGACACTCAAAATATTATATATAGTATTATATATTCAGGAAAGAAAGTAAAGAAAAACAACCTATATCTATATTTGTACCTGTCGTACAACTAGGTCGAGTACTCTTCTGAGGTTACTTTCCTCGATAGGGGCATCCCTAGTGTCCTTTTTTGCACCACGAGGTTGATAGGCTGTTGTCCATGAGAAGTCCCGCGTTGTCCCACATAGTTTCCATCCAGAGCTGTGATCATCCTGCACAAGAAGTGGGTTGTACTAATGTACTGGTAATTATAAGAAGCTGTAGTTAATTTGTCCTGTGTGTCAGGTAATAGTTTCACGATCCACCAACGATTAAACAAACTGTTGAAGACAGGTGAGGAGATGGGGGTTTGGCACATTTAGGCTCGGACACGGAAGACTCGCCAGGTGCAATTGAGCAGAGCCAACGCGGCCACCGAAGACGCCCCAGCAAGCGCCAGCTCTGGCACTGGCGCTGGCACTGCCGCTGGCAGCACGGCTTCTGATGCTCCTGAGGCTTGAGACCGCAGATTACAATCGGGAATGTCTCACACTGAAGAACACTAAGCCGCTAAGACGGATGCTGTATACATCTGTATACGTAATGCATAGTTAAGTTTTTTTCTTCATCACATTGCCAAGCGGCTGGCTTGGTGTATTGAGTTGGTTTCTAGCAGAGTGATAGCTGCAAAGAAGTGGCCGTGCCACTCACCAAGGACCTGGACCCTTCAAAGTACCTCAGAAAATGAGACATGACCCATTAAAAGAACAACACATATATATTATAAACACCTATACCATGTTGTAAGCACTCCAAGCAGATAGAGGTTTCCATGATCACAAAAGAATTCGACGCCGATCGAGGCGAGCATCGGCACCAAAGTCTTCGTGACAGGCGCAGAGCCGATTCTTGGGGTTGCTTGAAAAAGTCGCACTGATTCAAATGTGTCTCAGAGGGTCCAGGACCATCCTGTGGGTGTCCGACTTGGCCCCAAACAAACCCTATGGGTGTCGATAAAATAGGGAGACGGGCCCCAGTTCGATCAGCCTGGAAGAAGGCAAATAGACCTGTCACTGTCTAAAAGGCCAGGGGGGTCCCATGGTTTCCCAGCTTTCAACTGGTTGACAGTTCACGAACGTGAAAGCCAGCGAACGAGCCGATGTTTGCTGGCCTGAAACATGGGCGGGGGTTAGGTTTTCATAGTATTTTTCCATCAGACATGCATGGACGAATTGGATCGGTTGAATTGCAAATTGTGAGGGTGGTGCACATGAAGTTGCTTTAAGCCTCGCATTGTGCCGATCGGCTGATTGGTGCGCCCAATGGGTGTGGTGCGCCCAATGACAAGGCATTCCATGTATTTTGGTGAAGTCCAACGACGGGGAAAAGCTACTGCTGAGGGGGGGCTTTCATAGAGTGAAGCTATACTGCTTAGCATCACACAAGGAGAAATCTTTGTTGCCGTCAGAAGGAAACTTGGTTCAATGTGTTTGCCTCTTCTATTTGGCATAGTCATGCGTGTTCTTTCTATGATCACCACTAATTTGATTTAATGCAGATACATACAAGCCTGAGCACCCGTTTAGATTGTCAATCAACCCTTTACATCCACACCACACAACTAACTGCAACAAACCAACATCAACCAACATCAACCAACAAGCACTCTGACACGGCCACCAACCATCCCAACCAGCAAAACTCGCTCGCCCCCAACAGCCGCCAACGGTCGCCGCCCACCGTGGCTCTCGTACGGAAAGTTCTGCCTCCAGGGCTCCGAGCACCACCAACCCTGCCAGGCTTCGGGAAGGACTGCACGGAGAACGACCTCACAGCCCATTTCTCTAAGCAGCCTGATGGCACCGCATTGAGCGGCCGCGTCGCGTCGGTGTGGGAGGCGTGCCGGAGGCGGCGGTGTGCCTGTGAGGTGACATGACGTACCAAAAACTTGGTACCAAATCTCAGTGCCGCGACTGAGGCCCCCTCACTAAGATCTAGATTGACTAGATTGCCCACTCACGATTGTTGAGGTGCTTGATTCAACTTCCAGACGTATTTTTCTATTATGGTATTTGCTGATTTGGATGGATTCGGCCCAGCTTTTTTACGATGTCTTAGACTGGCTGAAGCTGCTCCTTCCGAGGTGCGGGAAGCTGGAGTCGGTGTCCATGCCAGTTTCGAAGTCTGCGAAAACCAAAGGACTCTCGGACTGATTTTTCCGCTCGTGGGAGCTGATTTCCAGCAACACGCGGAAGAGACACTTGGTGGAAATCCTCTAAATAGACCAAAAGCTCCCTGTTTTTGATCCGTTACCCTTAGGACTTGGGATGCCTCAGATGGTAGTGTAGACTCTGGATTCTGGATTAATAAATTTCATTATATGAAGAGGTTATACAAGTAGAGTTTTATGTATGTTTTGTTTATAAAGTGTCTACTACATTAAACCCATTAAACAACCATGGCTGGATGAAGCAGGCGCATTGTACCTCCATATTGTCCAGCGAGTCCATAAAAGTTCATAAGTCAAAGTCAAAGGCTATCTTAGGCAAGAAGCATCATTGCTCCTGAGGTGGTTTGTCCTGTTACGTGTGGATTCCAGATTCTCAACTGGAGATGTCCTTTATCCTGAAACGGGTGTTGGGTTTGCAGTTTAATGGTCATTATATAGTAGATCCTTGGTAGTACTCCATCCAGCACATGGCCGCGACCACAACCTTTGTTTAAGACATATATAAATAATATACATGCATTATTATTATCACACATTCTTTAGTGGGACCGTGGGACTAATTTTTGCTGCAAACACCAGGCATCCTGTCTTTGTTTAGAGGATAAGCAATGTTCCAACAAAGGAACAACATATATATATATATATACACATATTTTTACATACCATTGCAAGGGTGTCCTCGTTTTACATGGTACTTGCTACTACAGCTGTGCTCACACCTAAAGTCTGGTCTTTGCCCAGCCCAGAACTCGCTAGGCAGTTCTCGTGGCTTCGCCATTTTGGAGTGACTGGGCCATTCGTGGTGGGGGAAAGAACAACAAACACCTGAGATGCCATGATCGGGGTTGAAGATTGAGGGCTGAGTTCAGGTAGTTTTCCAAACTATATAGCTATGGCTGCGTGTTGTATCGCGATGAACATGGGCAAGCCTGGGGAGAGAGCTGATGGACAAGCTTTCTTGCAGCACCACAGAGTTGCAATGCAGTTTGGTATGTTTTCCTTTTTTTTGCTCTGGCACGGTTGAGCAAAGAAGAGAGAACATAGGGGCGTGCATCTTCAGCTTGGTGGAGTTTGACCACTTCAAGAGTTTTCTAGACCAATCAATCCCGTCCCTAAACGCTAAACACATGTTAAAGGTTATTAGAAGGGTAGCTGTCTACGAAGGGTCAACAGGGCTGTCATATATAAGTTCTGGCAGTCTAAAATCATTCGACATTCCGATGTGATCCGAGGTTTTCAAAGAAGAAATTCGCTGCACAGGCCTTGAAGTTGAGCAAGAAGCTTAAGGGCCAAGACTTGACAGAAGCTCAGCTGAGAAATTGATGTTGATGTGGCACAAAAGTCTAAATCCTGCGAAGCACAGATTTGATCACTTTACCTGTTGCCAGTGTTTTGCGACAAGTGAGAGGGTGTCAGGTGCATCATGCACATGTAACAACGATGCAGCGACACCCTGAGTGTCTACACGATTTTCCAGCGACGCTGAAACTATTGACTTCAGATGATGCAACCTTTTTTCTCAGGCCTTAAATCCATTCTGAGAAGGGTACCCACCCAAACACCTTCTCAGCAGGTAGTTGAAGCTCTAGGGCATGTCACGATCCATCCCCTCCATATTACGGAAGAACCGCCAGCCACCTTGTGGTGCAAGGAAAAGAGAGAACCAATAACCAAAGCAGCACCAAGTCCAAAGCACTTGAAGAATGGTTCTTTCACTGTTTGGAGTGCCAAGTGTGTTTGACACACCTGAACAGGTTGATTTTTCCATGATTTGATGATATGTCTAAGAATCATGATGATAAGTAAGTATGTCCATTTGTGCAGATATTAGACCCAAGAATCATCTTCTTCGATGATGGTGTGATTTGTCTAAGAATTGGATCATCAGACGCCCCCTTCGACCAAGATAAAGCCTTACACGTCCAGCGCGGCGGACGAAAAGCAGCAAAAGAAGGCGGAAGAGCAAGAGCTCCAGTCGACCAAACTCGCAGAACCAATGACGTGGCCCATTTAATCACTGTTTCGTGGAAGTGCACAATCAATGCACGTCGGTTGAACCAATTCTGCCGATGCTGATTACGATGCTAGTTGTTGCAAGCTTTGCCCTAGTGGACACCCGGAGTCGAGAGCATAAATGATGCAAAAAATGTTCTATTGATATTGTATATAGATTTCACATGATTACACAATCAACCAGTGCTGGCAGTGCTTTCCTTCGGTCAGGCCTCCGCGAAGAAGAAGGCAAAGGCTAAGGAGCAGACGAAACACCAGCAACTCGATAGATCAGTTACTGGGCAAAACATGGGTCTACAGGAGATCCCCTGACTATGTTTTAGTTTGATACGTGTTTCGCAATAGGTTGATTTTTATGGATCTTTTTTTACATCACTGCAAACCGAAACAGTTGTCAGGCGTTTGTTCAAAGGGAGCGGGCTCTCCACTTGGCCTGGTAGTTCTCTTTTTGTTTTCTTTCAAGACCCAGTGTTCCTGCTGGTGCTGAACCACATCAGATATTGCAAAGACAGGAACCTGCCCAGGATACCCTATCCACGGTTATTAACATTCTCTGGTTTATGCCTTAATGCTCTAGTACCGAATCTAGCGGATCACTTGATACAGTGTAGGGGATATTGTATGTTGACTGTGGTTGCATCGTGAAACACTTGGGAATCGCACCCTCCTATGCTATTTGCCTGAAGCAAACTCAGTCCAATCCAAGCTACTGGCGCGTGCTTTCTTCATTAAAACATCTCAGATGTGTTGTTGTATATGTTGATCATGTGTCAGAGAGGTTTTGGAAAAGGGAGCCAAAAGAAGAGCATGTCCGGCACAAAATATAGGAGTTCTTTGCTTCCAGCCACAGTGACTTCTGATATGGTACATATGCTGTATACAATATTCATCGTAATGTTACCCTTCCAATGTCTACAAAACACTGTTTTATGTACTGTAGATATTATATATATATGTATATGTATTCTCTTCCAAGTTGATGTTTGGCTGCGTTTCCTTATTGGGACACCGAATGGATTTGCATTGGATTCGCCTGCGTACGCACGGGGCCCACCAGGTACCGTGTGGTGGTGCAGGGCTTTCCGAAGGCCATCAGTGAGAAGAACCTGCGGGAGCACTTTGAACCCTGTGGAGAGATTCAAGAGATCAAGATGCCCAAGAAGAAGGACTGAAGAACTATCACTCATGGTTTAGGGTTTAGGGAAAGCCACCACCTGTTTGGCTTCGTATTTCATGGTCATCCGCACTCGCCTGTCGGGGCCGTTTTTTTGCACATCAAACCACCTGAAAGGTTGCGACTCCAGAATGGATGGTTCAATTGAGTGGACTCCAAAAACAGAGATATATTAAAGAACATGTCAGAAGATCATTTAAGAAGATCTAAGAAGGGAATCTGGATTGCAAGCTCCAAGAGGAACCTCAACTCGGTTGAAACACTAAGACAAGAGGACGGTTTTCACTTGTCACTCTCCTGAGAGGGGTCACCACCGGCACTTTGACATCGCTCTCCTCCCTTCGTACCTGACGTCGTACCTCGAGGATGGCGAACTGAGAGGTGTGGCGTTCATCAGCTTTGCTTCGAAGGTGAGAACAAGCATCGATCGAACGCCGCAACGAGCTCGTGGGATCGTGGGTTGTTTGGCAAAGCTGTAAACCACACCGGGATTTGAGGCTTAAAGAGTGAGGGCGGCAATGCTAGAGCTTCACAGCTTGTGACAAGCATGTGTCTCCAGGGCAGCAGCACTACTACTCGTAGCTGTTGTTGTTTTCGGAGTTGCACACTTTTTCCTGTATAGTATAAGCTACACTGTAACTTGTTTGCATAAATTGTTGGTACTGATGTTTAAGCCATGTACGATCAAACCACCTACATGTTCTCCTGGCCATCTCGCTCATGTGCCGAAAAAGCAAAGTTTGAAGAGGAGGCATTAGTACGAAAGAGCCAAGAAACAGTTGTTCCTGTGCAAAGTGTTCGACTTCCGATGTATGATTGGCCTCCTTGAAGTATGATCGAATCCAATTCCTGTGAAGTCCTGGTCAACTGGCTTTGAGGGACTTGAGGCGACATCATGTTGGCTTCCTTCGGACACTGCTGTATCTCAATGAATCTCAAACAGCTTATCAACATGTATCAGCTATATTGAATGATTCCTCAACCAGTCCTTAGATCATGTTGAATCAGGTTTGCTTCTTACCAATGAAATGAAGTGCTGACTTGCTCAGAGTCATGCCAACTGTGCTGGGATCGGTTCACAATGGACGAGGTTAGTGGGAGATGAAGATGGGTACATGAGCCCCAAACATATATTATGCGATACTCACCGTCCATTCAATTCCCACATCCAGACTGGAGGACAGGTAGTTGTTGTTCAACATATTTTGACAATCCCTTACACCTCACGCTCGCCACCTCAGTGTCATCCTCATCCGGGTGGAAGAGACTGCTAGGAGGCCATGAAAGAAGCCTTAAGGCTTGATGGTGAGGACGGCACAAGAAACATCGTCGGTACGCCCGACACATCGCGCGCTCTCGCGCCCTCCATTCAATCCAGCCAGGCAGTGAATGCGTTCATACCTATAGAGCCCATAAAGGACCCCTTTTTGAAACAGGAACCATTGGATCCAACAACCTTGTACCAATCATTCTTCGTGGCAAAACCTGGGTGGTTGGTGGTCCAACATAGAGGTCACTCAGGTTCTAGGTACCTACTCAGAACCGATCGAGAATGCTCACAGAATCGGGTGAATTGAAACCCAGCATCGGATGGGCCCTGGTTGCCGGAAGATGTTCCTTTACATCCATCCATGGAATGTGAATCCAACTGCCTGTTGCAACCACTTGAGAAGACACTGCCTTCAGTCTGTCAGTGGTTTCAGACTTGGTGCAGACAGAGTGAACAGAGTATCATCCGACCCGCCTTGCAGACGACGCGACTCCGCCGGGGCAGGACTTCCGCGATAAGCCGCTCAAAGTCGTGAAAAGCGATCCAGGTGCGCCGGTGCATCCGGCGGTGGATGGACCTGCGCCAGAAATTCATGCACAGTGTGCTGCGAGAATGGATCTGCAGTGGAATCATACCAGTTCCTTCACATCATGAGTCAGTTAATAATTCAGGGGTACGTACAGTTGCATTTGGTTCAGAGCTCTCCAAGGTGTTTTGGGTGTTTTTGTTCTTTGTGGATTTTCCATCGTGAGTTTCTTTGCAGCGGCAGGCAAGAACGCAGCGGGAGAATGAGCAGATGCAAGCCAAGAGACAAAAGAACTGAGAAACTGCTAGATCTTCAGCAACCCAGGAACACCATGGTGGGGTGAAGCGTCAAAGCGCGGGGAACAGTCATGTAATTAATGGACGATGATGGATCGCCAGGCGGGAACCACTACCCCCCCGGGAAACCAAAAACGGACCTCGGCAACCACTATAGACTGCTGTTCTTGGTCGAAGCAAATGAATTTTGCCGCTTTAGATTGTTTCAGGTCAAGCTCTTTCAGGGTCCATGTTCGTTTGTGGGGAGCGGGAGGGTTGACATTTTTTCGTCACTCCATGTTTGTCAGTGACGATCCTGTCAGTGCAAGAGTCGGAAGCGTCATCCCCCAACCGAAGCAAAAGAGTCTAACCACCTCCACCCAGGTTGGAGCACTTCGCAGGGAGCGGCTCCAAGGAACTGCAGACCTCGGCTGTTGCGGAGTCCTGGGTGGTCCGGGCAGCTCAGGTGGGGTGGATGGCGGTGGTGAGTCCAAGAAAGACCCTCACTCCCAGAGTCTCATGGAAGTGGATGCCAGAAGTGTGCAGATTCTGGGTTCAGATTGGTGGGGAGCCCTTCTGCGTCTTCTCTAAGCAGTCCAAAACTGAAAAAAGACACATGCTCCAGAGACGCATCTTGATATGTTTTTGGGGGCCCGGGTGATTGAGGGGGGCCCACGGCACCTGAAGGCCGGCTTTTCGGCTTCAGAGGTGATGAACAACTTGGCGCTCCGAGCAAGGTCGGCTTAGTGCCTCATGATCTCATGAGTGTTCGGCATCGGCCCCCATGAGGGAGCAAGGCCAGTAACCGACGATGAAGAATACTTACCCATAGGGTCCAGGTACCCCTTGACGATGGTCTTGGAGTCTTAGAGGCTATTTAAAGTACATCCTTTCAATGGTGTTTGGGGCCAAAGGACACCCCCAGGATCTTTCTGGACCCTTTGGGACATGAATAAAGCATAGGCAATCTTTTCCGTGAATCAAAACATATCAAAACACTCCGCTGCTGTGCCCAAATCACTCACAGAAACCAGGCTTTGGACTTGGACCTCACTCCTTGTACACAAGCAAATGAAGGGGCGCTCCCCAGCCACTCCCGGCTTAGAGCACTGAAGACTGCTGTCTCAGGTCAAGGCTTCGTCAACGCTTTGAACACTCTGACACTGGTTTTCAGTTAATGCAAGTCACGTTGGGAAGGAAGGTGAGAGAACAGAAAGGTGCATGGGTCCGAGCACTTGAAAGGTTTAACATTGTTGTCACAAAGGCGGCAGCAATCAAATCGGCGGCACAGCTGCTGGGGACGAATAGGTTTGTGGGGAGTATCATGGAAACACCATGAAGCAAACCAAAGGAAGAGTGGAGTCACAGCTTGATAGAATGGCAGGTACGCAGGGCTGATCGGGCCCTGCTTCCCACTCTCGCCCACAGCTTCGTTGCGTGTGGTAGGGCGAGAGTGCCACACGCCCCTGCCTGTGTAAAGTGGAAAGAGTGGTGGTGAAAGACCCTTTGTCCAGGGTTGGACACACACACACACACACTTTGGCACAGCAATAACAAATTGCCAGATGGATGAGGATACTCTTCTTCCAACTTCAAACATGTCTACAATTTGCAGAAACGGAGCAAGAATGCTACTAGTAGCCCTTCTCTTATTAATTGTTTTCTAAGAGTCCGGACTTGTCAGGCCCCGGTATCTACCCGATCCACACCACCTTCAACTGACTAATGTCGGGGGCTTGTCCAACACTGGGTAAACAATAATAGTTATCAATGATACTTCCATAAACAGCATAAGCATTTGTTCTGCATAGTATCATAGTGCGCTTCCTGCCATGACGTGGAAGTGAAGCTTTCTTGGTGCTTCCATGATGCTGGCGGGTGCTTCCATTGCGGTGAACGCCGCTGTCACCACACGGAAAGCGGTGAGCTTTCTCAAAGAGGTGGCGCACATTGAGGACTCGCGGTATCTCGGGGTGTTGCCGTTTGGGTGTGTTTGGTTGATCATATAGTCTTGCAGGGTGATTCTGATACTACAGTTGTGGACCAGTGAATCTTGAAAGGGAACGACTATATAGACCGTCAAATTACTGTAAATTGATTTAAACGGTGGTCAGTTGCTAGCTGTCATGTTCCTGCAGGTGCCTAGGGTGCCCAAAATAATTCACAGTACCAAAACTTGTTGGTTATTTCTGACTGATCCAGGTATTTCACGGTTTCACCACGTTTGGCCCTGATCTGTTTGCAAGGTGGTGCTTTCTGGAGGCACTGCCAATGAAGGAGTGCCTGAGTATCCAATGTTTTGTTCATTATAATTATACCACGTATCAATATCCATAGTTTTTGTTTGCAAAAAACAATGTGAAATTTGTTGATTTTTGGCATGTTTGGTGGTGCAGGACTTAGAAATCGATGTTGCTCAAAAAACAACGTCCCCAAATCTTCCCATTCCGAACTTCCTTCGCTCTACATGACTTCAGGGTTCGACCGAGCATGTCTTCGGGGTCGGGCCTTTGAAATGTTGCGAGGACGAAGGTTACTTCCTCTGGAAATTGGTCGACTCCGTGAGCGGTCCTCTGGAGGCGGAGAGAGAAAAACAGGAAAATACATGGAAAGACTGGATAGAAGCGACCGACTAGACTAGTGACATCCAGTGACTATAGACATCTATAGACTGTTGATTCAATCACTTTCCCTGTACACAGATGTAAACTAATTCTGGAAAGGATTTGGTAGGGGAGTTGATCAATCAACAGTCTACATTATGGGGTTTAGGTGCACAATCCAGGATGAGGTCCTGTACGACATGACAGTGGATCTTTCATTACTGTATGCCAGTGTGAGGCTGATTTTTCTTTTTAAGCATTGATTTGGGGTTGTCAGACCGATTGAACATGGAAAGAGTTCGACATACTTGTTTGTAACCACATTCCCCATGCGCTCACCTTGCTTACTTGGACTGTGTTCCTTTTTCCGCCCGTCGTTTTTTTCCTGCCCATTTCGTTGCTTCAGGGTTGCAAAGCTAGGAGGGTGCCAATTCTGCGGTTCTCTTTTAACCCGTTTCAAAAAACAGCAGGGTGGGATAGCTAGGGGCTTCGTGTTCTGTTCTTTTCGACCTGTCTGGGGTGGCTGCATTTTTCATAGCCTGCATGCCAGGTGGCTGTTCAGCTAGCTACACGCTATGAGGCGTGCCAGATTCTTGAGCCGTCGATTGCATTGATGCGTTTTACCTTGCGACAAGTGGAGCTGGTTCTCGAAAGAGATGATGACGAGTGGCCTTGCTGACAAGTTGTGGTTCAGTTTGCCTTCGCAGTTGGCCTTCTTTCGATAGTCAGGTCATGTCACAACTTTTTGAGTCATAAGCCAGGTATGATTTGTGATACTCTTGCGTCGTGAATGTGGCGTTTGCAGAGACGCAACATTCACATCAATACAAAACTAACACATGCAAAGTAGCCTGAGATGTTTTCCCATCAAGCAGTGGATTGTTTTCATGTGTTTTCCCCTAAGACTTTTAGGGGCGCAACACAAGCTTGCTCAGTAAGGCAAGGAAGACCTGAAGATAAGGCAGGTTGGAGCACTTGGCTGTTGAGTTTCTCGGTACCGAGCGAACGCGGACAGCGCGGGACGCGGGAAGTCTGCATGCCTGACACGGTGTTGAGACACAAGTATACTCTGGTGTGATAGCGGAGTGGCTGGTGAGTTAGCGTAAGGAAGGGAGGCAAGAGATCTTCTCAAAGCAAGGTCAGGTTCAGAGATCAACATGTTCAACCAGGGTATGACGTTGGCACCAGGCGCATGTGAAATGCTGAGTATAATGCTTCATGTCGGATCATATCAAAACATTCAAAAACCATCGAACAGCACAGTAGTGTACGTACTGGAGTACAGTAAGCCCGCAGTCATACTCCTAAAACCTTTAGAGATCTTCAGAGTATTGGACCAAACATGACCAAACCACATGCAGCAGCCTGCAGCCGGCAGCCCAACACAAGACTGTGTGGGCTTTCTTCACGGTCGATCCAAGGCAAAACCGACGGCCTCACGCGGAAGCAGCGCATCTTGGAGCTTCAACCCAAGCTGGCACACGCCTTACAGGCCTTGCATGCAGGCGGGAGGACAGGGATTTATATGGGTTTGTATTTTAATGGGTCTTTGGGAGGTCTCCCTATTTTAATACACCAATATTATAACTGAATATGGGGATCGGATGGGTCCATGGCGTCAGATCATGGGACTAGATTTGCTTGATCTCCGCCGTCAGATCCAATCGCTTTCGTTCGCTCAAACCGTGTTGGAGTGGACGATTCGCACCAGCCCTCCAAACATCGTCACCGGATGAAAGCCGCGAAAGCCGCTCGCCCTCGAGCACTCGAGCATTTCGATCTCCCAGTGATGCGAAGCCAATACGAAAGCCCACCAGGCTTGACCACCGTGATGCTGCGAGCTCCTGGTTTGCGGGCGAGCCTTGGTCGCCCAGTTGGAGAAAGACGAGGGTTTCGCTTTCGCTTTCAACACATAAGGCTTCTGAATTATCTGAATTATGGCTTCTTTGGATTTGGATCATTTCAGATTGAGGAGTTTGGGTTCGATGGAAGTGAAGGAGGACCCATCCACTTGTTTTCTTACCTTCTCCCAGGCCTCCAAAGAAGTACACTGCACCCTTTTGCCTTGCTCGCCAAGCAATGACCCTGTAAAATTGCCGCAGGCCCTGCAATATCCTGCAATTCGAGTGTGGAAGACCGTTTTCCAAAAATACGGTTGGTGGAATCGAGTTGGCAATGTTAGTTTGCAGGGGACTAGTACGTAAGTGAAGCAGTCACCACGGACATGTCAGCTGTCGCCAACATCTCAGGAGCTCTCCCTTCAGATATTTGGATGCCGCCGCAGATGATGCTCACCTGACAATACAAAAGGCTTTCAACCGACAGCAGTGTTGGAGGCTTGCAACCGACAGTTCGATTAAGTATATAGCAACTTCTAGGAGAAGCACAACTTTAGAACAGGTCGCTCAAGCCCAACGCAACTTTTCTACGACTGCAGCTTATTTTTAGCTCGCTCCAATACTCCAGCAAACGATGGTCTTGCTGTCCAATCTCCTTGAGCTGCTGTACGAAATGCCTCCCCTCCATGTCATATTGTCAGCGTCAGTTACATAGTATCACATGCGTGTTGCATCATGTCTTCACATTGTATCACCTGTTCCGCAAGGATGCCTACAAGCTGATTCAAGAGTTCGAGTTTGGTCGCCTGCTGGACGGCCGAGCGGTCGCTGCAGGGAAGATCCATGTGGGACCGGGAGATGACTCGAACCCTCAGGTCTGGCAGGACGGCGGTGATGAAAAGAAAACAAACGGACGAGACAAGTGACGAGACAGTAAATCCTAGGAAGCAGGAAGAATTCTGTGAAAACCAAGGGGATCATCATCCAAAATCCTCCAATCCCTTGAATCCAAGCGGTTTCGGCCAAGAATGCACAGCTTTGAATGACGAGATGAGGATCCACTGCACAGTTTGGGGAGTTATTCCAAGCCTGACTCCCAAGGAGATGGCCTTGAGGAGTTGAGATACCAGTATATACTTATATAGTAAATAGATGCGTGTATAGGTGTTTGCTTTCCGTATTACCACGCCAATGACCCAAATCATTGAGGAAACACAAGACTGCCACTGCATATATGAAGTGTATTTAATGGCCTTCCGCCAGGTCCGCCGCCCCAAGGAGGCGGTGAGTAGCAGGATTGATCTGGACAAGGTCCGGCATAGGATAAGTTTAAGATAACAGTGTTTGTCGCCGATTGATGATTACTCGTTGTGCTGCTGTGCTTCATGCAGCAGAATCCTTCCGGAAATCATTTGCTTCGATTGGAGAACACAGTCCAGGGCGAGGGGGTGGAAAGGTTATGGAAGGGTGTGAGGTACATACAACTTTCCACAACACACGTATTACCTTAACTTGGCATGAGAGTTGATCAGTGCAATATGTCCGGCATGAGATACAAGTGCCTATCGGCGATCGATGATTGTTCGTCGCGGCTCATGCGAAAGGAATAATCTGCGCAAAAATCCGCGCCAACGAACATTCTAATCACAAGCTCATCACCTTGACAAGCAATCATTACAAGCAACCTTCCACAAGACACACCCCGCCTAGGGCGTGGCAGATGGTTGGCGGAGTATCTACCTACATTGACCCTTGAACCTAAAATTAAAGAAGCTTCTTAAAGGCCATCCATCCATGTATGTATATAGCCTCATGTAGGCAAATAGTCCAGTCCCATGGATTCTTTGGGAAAGAAATCATCTACTCGCTTCGCCTCACGGCTTCTCAAAACCAGGAGTTGGGGCCATGTGAACTTCGGCTCCTTTTCTACAATGGCTTCAGCCTACATTTGCGGCCTTTGGTGTCGGACCAAGTGGACTCTTGTCCAACAAGGCAAGTTGAAGCCCAATTATCTCAAGTATCCTACAGAAGCTGAAGAGATACAAGAATGGGTGCCATCCACAAGCACCTGTAACGAATTAAGAAGTCTATTTCGTGTGGCCAGCGTGGGACGGTCAATTCTCACCCTTTTTAGGTTCAGCTTTGGAGGGAGGAAATTCGACCGTGTGAGGCTCCATAAGCATCTTGCAGGATTGAAATTGGGGAACGATCTGTCAATTTGGAACCTTCAAGACCAACTTTTGTCCTATAGTGTCCTAGTGGTGTAACCATCAAACAAACTATGATCAAACAAATCGGACTCTTTCACTGACCCGTCCAGCAAATTCTTAAGGACTGGGATCCCATCAAGCTGCCCATCCACTCTGGGGCCTTTCAACTGAGACGGACCCTCAAGACGAAGGCCCAAACCGCCTGGGGTGGGCCATGTGCGGACTTCTTTCGTTGGAACTGATGGAGTGTTGGGCCATGTTGGGCCCACTGGGATGGGAACGGGAGGCGAAGACCTCCAAAGAAAACGGGTGCCGGGTGCTCTTGGGAGATGTTTTGTGTGCAAACAAAAACACCGTTGTACAGCACGCATGCGTAAACGTTGTGAGGAGCAGGATGATTGGCAAGGTCAACTGGGTTTGACGTTGGCGTGTTGCATCTTTGTCGCGCGAAATCGTTGCGGCAGGCTGTTTCTGCGTAGCCTCGGTAGAACGAGCGTTTGAGTGTGGGTTTGTGTCGTACAAGAGTGTTTTATAGTGTCCCATGACAAGTATCTTCACAATTGTTGTATGTTAAGCAACCATGTATTGCACAGTGTTTGTTTTGCGCAAGAGTATCCTACAAGTATGCCTTATTATTGTAGTGCTGGTGATGATAGCCGTGGCCTCTTTGTGGACCCTGCCTTCTCTGCCTGGCTGGCATTCACCTCTCTGGCTTGTCCAGGCCTTGTCAGGGTCGCGGGCCGTGGGTCTTTCATGTCCGCCTGGTGACGGCGTTGTCCACGTTTTCAGGGTCTGTTGGTTCGAGCGTGTCACTGCCTTGTTTGAGCCTTGTCTCGCTGGAACCTTTCTCCAGCGCCACAAGGCAGGTATGTTTCCTTGTGGCTGAAATATCATCCTGGGTGTTTTGAATGGTTTTGAGCTCTATTATATACAGTAATTGTTAATGTTCAGACCAGGCCTACAAAGGTTTAGAGATAACACCAAAGTACAAACAAAACAACAAAACACACGCACACAGACCAAACATAATACACACACACCACACAAAAACGACGATGAGACATGGCACATGGAGTTTGGGCACAGGAAGAGGGAAACAAATTCAATTAGCCTAGGTTTCAGAGCAGTTATTGAAATTTTGGATGGTTTTACAGTTAGTTTGAAGTATTTGAGCCAGTGTGTGCTCTCCCCAGCTCACCCGCTTTCAAACAAAAATAGTGTAACACTTGGCGCGTCAGGTTCAATTTCTTTTTCGGTCAAATGACAGAAATCGACCACGGTCTTGAAGATGGCAAACCCCATGTCCCTCAATGCGTCCACCCTTCTTGCATGGCCTTCCAAGACCATGGTGGTTCCATGTGCTGCCGTGCACTTCGCGAACAATCCGAACACTCCGAACAACGGGAATGGTATAAACTCCGATCAGTTGTGGTGGCGGACCCGAAATCGATGGTAAATATGATCAAACATTCCCTTCACATCATCTCAGAAGAGGTCTGAAGATGTCTGAAGACTTCCGAAGGTCTCGTTCGCTTGCCGTCCCTGTTTTCATGGGTTTTCTTGACCCCGAATTCAGAGCTCCCCCCGGTGTTTCGGGCTCGCGATGCAGGTGCCAGGGATGGATTGCTCACCACAGGATGAGCAGGTATTGAGCTATTGGATCTTCGTCACTGGGCAAGTTTGTTGCTTGCATGTTTTTGTTCTGGGGGGTGCTGAAGTACTGGGTGTTTGATGGTGTTTGTAAGTGTTTGTCGGATTTCTATGCCAGCAGAGTCCCTTCAATCCTCAAAACCGTTAGAAGGAAGTCTGCAGAGTGCAGGCAACCTGCAAATCATTGCAAATCCATGAGGTGCAGAGAGGCTAAACACCCACAAAACTGGTGAGGCCTCCGGCGTTTTCTCACGTTTGTTTTGATGTGATTCCTTGACCCATGAGGTCGAACGAACCCAAACCGCATCCATTGTATCCATGGTTCTTTTGGTGCACCTGTATACGTCAAAGTCTAGATCTATTCGAAGCCTTGGGGCTGGGGTATTGGTTTGCCGTAAGAGTTTTGGGGGCCAGAGATGTCTTGGCTCAGGGGTTTTGTGTTGATTGGTGGCCACAGAGATCGTCGGTGCTCTTCGTGTCGTCCAAACGTCTCGGTGCTGGACGAGGCACAGACGCAGAAGAGTTACCTGCTGGAGTTCGAGTCCATGGGACGTTTGGCAGCCGAAACCTTCGAGCTGCTTCTCATGATGGTGGAGAAGTGCAATGGTGGAGAACAGCTCTTGGCCGAGAGTGCCTTGTAGAACTCCCACATATCCGAGGGATGTATTCTATTTGTGTAGGCAAGATAACGAACAGATGATCAGTAATATATACAATATATATAATATATACATATATATATATTATTCTATACATGGTGTTGACTATTGGGTTAATTTTGACATGTTTTGAACAAATAATTGCGCAAAGACGAGTGGAGAAAGGAAAGATACTGTTTATGGGTCATGTCGGCGACGCAGGGGGCTACCTGCCCTTGAACACCGTTTTCCCTGAGCACTTAAACATTTACAAAATGCACTAGAGGTCCTGACGAGATCTGTTGGACGTCATCAAAGAAGTTTTCGAGGCCTCACACAACTTGAAATAGACAGTGAGAACTGCAAGGTTGTTTTGTTCATGATCAACATAAGACAACTCAAGGTGTTTGACAAAGTGCTGGAAGCCAACCAACCTTTGTGCTTTTCCAGGAGTGACGGTATAACCAGTGTTGCAGCGCAAGCAATGCCCACCAAGCTGGCTTGCAGGTGTTGATTTGGATGCCTTCCAATTATACATGGAAAGAGCAGGCTTCAAATATTCTGGCGATGAGTTCCTGTGAGACTAGTGCCGGCACGATTTTCTCCTCGGTGTACATAATCCTGCCAAAGAGCGGGACAGGTCCCCAGCAGTGAAAAGCAGTTCTCCCCAGTGCGGGTGCCCAAAGCTGTTCTATTTACTGTAATGTTACTGTTGCAAAGCAAATCAACTCAACAACTGTGATGCGTGATGATGCGTGAAAAGTGGTCTAAGGTGCAATTTCACTTTTGACCCATTGGTCATGTTCTTTTTTTTTTCACTTGGATGGCAGGTCATCCAATTCTATTTGTTTTGGACCAACTACTTCTCACTCACAACTCCAGCATCAAACATCAAGCATTGCGTGTTTTATGTGTTTTTTTTCCAGGGCCCCATCAAGAGGCAAAATGCAAACTATATAGCGGTTCGGTTAGCCAACTATATATAGAAAGCACTCATCAAACCAAAGCACAAATTTATCATTCTCCCTTGACCTGTTGAGGTCACATCTTCTTTCGACTGGATGCATGTTGTAATATGACAACCCAAACGATCGCGGAGGCTCCGATCGCTGTTCGGTGCACATGCCGCGGAGTCGCCACTAGCACCGAAGCACTTCAGGTCATCCCCGTGATTTTCAACGTCTCCTCTGGCATCACAGGTGCTGAAAATCACATGAAACTGCTTTGGATTTGCGTGTGGGATGGGGTATAATTACAAGAGCGGAGAAAAGGCAGCGAACCTGACTTCGAACCGGCATAGCCACATGCTGTGCCAACTGTGGTATGATTGCACTATTTTTGTAGTGTGCCCTCCCAAGAAGGGCCCGACATTTATCCCTGATCCTGATGCTGACACTTCACGTTTTGCCATATCTCAGGGTCCGTGCAGTCGCATCAAAGCCTCACGCCGCAGGTCTTCTGCGGGGTGCTGGCTCCGTGACCACTATTTACTTCAGCTGGTGGCTCAAGTGCGTGACACCGGTTTGCTGATGATGCTTTTAATTTATCAATACAAACAGCTCATGACTAGATGCAAAACATTGAGCCGACCCTGACCCAAAGTATAAATGTTTATGGGCCAACCCCAGGGGGCCGTGCTACAACAGTGCTACAACCATTTTCACATATGTTGACCCTCTCACCGAGCTTTGTTGGGCTCCGAACTCCTCCGTGGTCCACCGCAACCAACGACCGCACTCGTTGGGGTCGCGCCTCAGACTTCACCGTGGTCCAGAGCGCCTCAGAGCTGCAGATTGACGCACTGGAGCCACCGCCGATCTGTCCCTTTGCTCCGTTCGTAGCGTCCGATCGCTCCGTTCGTAGCGATGCTCTTTGTTACTAGATGTTACTAGTAGCTTCTTGTTCCTAGTAGTAATGCCAGGAGCTAGTAGGATCCTTGCTCCCTGCCGAGCCGATCCGGAGTGATGACTCGAAGATGATCGGGACCGACGTGGAAAGGGGGTGGCCTCCTGGACGGCTCAGATGCTTTTCGCCGATCCGAAGAGGGCTGAGAGACATTTGACAGTTGGAAGATGACAGATCAGACGGAGAGACGTTGTTGAGATCCATTTGGATGGCATTTGTTTGACCACCATGAATTTTACAATAGGGGAGAAGGTCGTGTGAGCCTCCACAATGAGAATCCCAGTCCAGCGCTTTCGGGATGATGCGGTTAGTCCAGAGGTCTTCTGGATAGGCTTGAACTGATATATAGGTCTCCGTACCTACGCCTTGGGCACGGATCCAAAAGAAAACACCCTATAGAATCAGTGAGCCATCCAACTGAAGACCTAAGGCCATGGACGTTGGGCTGTTGGAACCATCCTCAGTAGGGTGAAGTTCATGGACGTCCGCCGCGTCCGCCGCACTCTGCAGGAGCCCATCGGCTTTGAGTTCCAAGAGTCCTATGCCATGGCGAACATCAGCGACCGGAAGAGCATCCCGCAGGCGCGGCAGGGGGCTTCGAGAGGTGTGCCCGCTGAAGGCGTGTGGAAGTGCTGGGCCGTGGGAGGCCGGCTGGGCTATGGGAGTCCCACATGCTCAGGAACAAGAGACAAGAGATGGGCGTAGGCAAGTGAAATCTATCCAGAGTAGGATTGGATCCCTGACTGCAGACTTTGCAGACTTCAGTGCCTGGTGCCCGACCAAGCATCACTTGCTGTTCGAATCCTCCAATCTCTTGTAGTCTCCCAAGGACTTGGTGAAGTTCCTTGAGATCTGAGATTGGTACTCCAGGGTTGTGGTGTTGTGGTGGGTCACCACATTGCAGGTTCAGAGGCTTGGTGTTCTTTAAGGAGAAAACACCGGCCACGCCACATTGATGGGCCCGCAATGACTTCTATTTCAGGTTGTTGGTACCTGAAAACCATCTGAACACCCTAATCATCCCAAATCAATTCATTCAAGTCATTCTCATTCTTGTGGCACCGAATACCCTTTTTTCGGAGTCCCTCTAGATTCCCGATTTCCTGCCGTACGCCGCTCCTTTTTTTCCCAAACTCGCTTTCCACCTCACCGCTTCATCTCGCTTTCCGCAGATCTTGGTGGCCACTTGGGATGCTTTTCGCCTGGTGATCCTGGCAGATCGCGCGCACCCCAGACGACGTCGCGTCGAACGTGCTGCGGAACGACGACCCTGCGTCGCGCCGAAGCGCCCCACCTGTCCGTTGGTTCGGCGTTTTGGGAAGCCGAAGCGCCCCACCTGTTGGAACAACGGGTCTCGTTGAGCGGGATCACTCTGGATCTCTCTGGATTCTCCACGATGGATATCAGTGGAGCTAGATTTCATCGATGCATTTAGGCAAGTTTAGGATCTTTTGAGCCTGAATTTGGCTCCAATCGTTGTAGGTGATCCAAGATTTTAATATTGAACGACCGGACACGGACCTTAGTGATTAAGTGAAGACCATGAAGACCAAAGAATCAGAAGATGTGTCAATGTGAGCAATTGAATCGCAATCGATGTGCAGAACTCTGAGAACACGCTGAAACCACAGGTACTGTGATTAGTGTAATTAGGGCACCCGTGCATTTTGTACTCGTACTATGGACACCCGATTAGATTGGACACCCGGGATCGTTGTGTAGTACACATTGTCATTAATATAAACGTGAGTTTCTTTCCATGCAGAACCTTCCTTTGTTTTGAAGACAGTGAACAGGTTTGTTTATAACTTTCGGTATCTCACGTGGCAGGCTAACTTTTGGCCTCTACTAAGTGCTTCCTCATGAGTCTGCCCAAGAAGATAAACGCGGTTTTGCTCTTCGTCCTTCTCTCATATGGCAGAAACTCCCCAAGTTTCTGCCATGTGAAACTGAACCTGCAAGGTATAAGGCACATCCATTCGCAACCCATGAGGACGCTGGTTGGACAGAATCCGGAGGGATCAGAATCGGAGGTCAGACATCCCAGGAGCGAAGGTCGGACATATCCCCAATCCCTTTGTGTTTGGGGCTCCTGGCCTCCGTTTCGAAAGTGCTTCAGGTGGGTGCCAGAGGTATCTAACATGGTCTAAGCACCTTAGGATATGGCATAATATGGGCGTGGAGCCCTAGTAACCTGGGGAATCTCGGCGAATCGCACGGAAAGCACGCATCTCAGCCTTCGACAACATTCACCTCACCATCACCGACGTGAAGATCTCAGAGGCACGTTTATCGGGCGACGACTCCCGAAAGGAGGAACCTTTGGTAGGGTTTGGGTAGACTTCCTTCTCCAACCACATCCTCGGAAGCTAGTTAGACCATGTTAGACCCCCCAAAACCCACCCCAACCACCTTCTCAGAAGGTATTTGGAGCACTAGGGACTTTCTGTTCCCCTTAACTTTGCTCACGTAGTTCACCAAGTGTATTTGATGCGAAGAGCCTGTGATTTGGGTGAAAGATCAAGATAACATCAGTCAAAGCTAGTCAAAGCTAATCACGCCCATGCAATCGGTGAGAGCAACCTGATTGTTTGTTTGTTCATTCTGGATATCGTTTGATAGCCCTTGCGTACATCAACATGTGTGTCCCCAAAAAGCTTTGTTTTTTGATCTTTAGCCTCCTTGCTATGGACTATGAACTCTTTTGGTACATATTCATGTATCTACTGTACTTATATTATATATATGTAGTATGTATATATTATATTATACTTATATATATATTATTTGGATCTACTGTGTTGAGCTTTGTCAGCACCCCACAGACAGGTGCAGTTCTTTTGTCCTGGACATCATGACTCATGGCTGCCTTTGCTTGGAGAAGTGGAGAAGACTCCCCCAAATCCACTTTCCCTTCCATGCAGTGTCTTTCTTCTCCAGCTGCCGAGAAAGGATCAGCTGACGACCTGGGCCTCTCGCGCCAGGTGCCTGGGGCCTCTCGCTGGCGACTCTCCACCTGGGAGCTCCCAGAAGATGATAAGCACGGGGCGCTCGGTTCGAAACAGACGCCGCGGACAGGCCTGGGAGTTCAAGAGAACAGCGGAGTCAGCGGCCATATAGAAAAACAACTGCAGAACAAGGAAAAGGACGTCCCACGAAACAGCACTCTTGCTGGACAAGCTTTAGCGCCTGGGCATCGCTCAGGAATGGCAAGTTCCCTGCAAACGGTGCACGGCGGAGAATGAACTCCATGTTGGTCATCCGAACCGTCGGAGATTCTCAAACAGGTAGGGGCCACCAATGACGAGGGGCCATGTCTTTGCTCACACACCGTACTTAGCATCGAGTTTCAGAGAACTGAACGCAAGTGATTCTACATACAAATTGCTTCTGTCTTGAAGACCTCTGAAAGCACGCGTGGGAAGAGGACCATCAATCTGCGGTGGTTGCAGGGTCTCCCTCTTCTCAGCGTCTCCCTCCCAGAAAAACATGTGTTGGCCCACTTCGATACTGGAGCACCAACGGGCAGACGCTTCACCATTTCCACCTGGCACCAACGTCCAGAACGAAGCTTTCCGCCCAGGGAAGGGACTCCATACATCAGGGACGAAGCTTTCGTCGAGGTGAGCCTGACAAAACGTCGTCAGACCAACACTCAAGTTGGAGGATGGTTTGGGAGACATGGACTGCACGGAGTTTCTTTTAAGAAGTCACATGCTGAGGTTGCAGGTTTGATTCTTGATGATTGTATTGCTGCATGGGACAGCCACATTGCCAGTAGATGTTTGGAATGTATACTGGCAGACAAATGCAGAACCTGATAGGCAATCAGGACTGCTGCTGTTGTTGTTGCTGCTGCTGCCATCGTGTGTGTCATCGTTTCTGTCGCCAGGGCTTCCTGGTGCCAGGAAGAATTCAGGCCCGACCCGAGCATGTGGAGGAGGTTAGATGACGGGGTCCATGGATTTGTACGGTATACGTATACCTCATCTATGTATATGTATATGTATATATGTCGAAGTTCCAAACGTTTTGAATTTGAGGTCATGTGAGGTCGACGTACGAAAGAAGGCCGACCTTGAAGTTGCGAAGTGACGTTACGGGCGCACTGATGCTGTTTGGTCATTTGATAAAAATACGGCCTAGCTCCTTTTTCAGTCTCGTGTAACGATTCAGAACCTAGAGCTTGCTGGAGCTTGCAGTCGCACAGCCCAGTGACCGCAATTGGACACGTCCCTGCACTTGGGGCGCCCCAACAATGATACATGATACAGTGCTGTTCTGTTTCATTTTTCCAGGCTTTGTGTTCTGGCAAACTACACCCCCAAGCCATCAAGATCAGCAATCTGCCAGGCGAGTGAATTGTAGTTGTACAATACTCCCGACAAAAAGACACCACCATCGCAATCGCAATCTAAAAATACTCAGCACGTCAAGGGTCCCTGCTCCACCGGGTCCAAAGCTCCCCGCTCACCGCTCCTCCGCTCGTCCGGGACCGCGTCTTCGGCTCCACCGGCTCCGCTTCCCAGGTCTACAATGCCTTTGGGCAGACGGGCCGTGAGGGTGCAGCCATCCTGGGCCGCGAATCCGCCGCTCGGGTTGAGTCTGTGCTGTGCCGTCGCGGGGAATCCGCCGAGCTTTGTGGGGAAGAGGTTGGCACATTCCAAGTGGGGTATACCGAGGAGGTGTCGAAGAGGTTGGTGGCGTTTGTTACTTCAATGATAAAGCTATACCTAGATCTTCAGTCCGGCACTTTTACAGGGTCCGGCGCCGGACTTCCAACTCCGGCGTTTTTCTGGATTTGGTCCGGCGGTTTTTCCAAGTCACTTGAAATGTGGATTCTCAAGGCTTTGCATTCTTTGTGGCTTGCAGGCTTGCATTTCTTTGAAGGTAATGATTTGCTTGCAAAGTGTGCTCGTTTGCCTGTTCCGCTGTTTTCTCATTCCACCGGTTTCAGCATGGTTCACACTGGATCAATCAGATCCGTTTAGGTGATCTTCAAAGTGAAATCGGATGAAATTGGTACAGTGCGATGCACGTGTTGAAAGACCCAAGTGGGTGTACCTAAGCTGAAAGAACATAGGCAAAGATGTACTCCCATTGTTTCAGGATGTCGGGGCGCTGGGATATAATTGATCTAGTTGCGCAGGTTTGCAGAGCCTGCCGGACAAGGTTTGGGCTGTGGAACATGTGTTGTTCAGAATCTCAATGTTTTGCAGAGAGTTGCTAAGAAAAATTGCACGTCGTAACTCCGGCGTTTTGTCCCGTAACTCCGGCGTAATTTCCCGTAACTCCGGCGTAATTTCCCGTAACTCCGGCGTATTTTTTTGGACTCAGTCTTTTGAATTTTGAAAAGTTATTCAACTAAGAGTTTCGACAGGAACCATGAGTGCTGCTACTTTATTGGCGGGGCCGTCCTGAGGCAAGCAATATAAAACAACTTACAACCAAAATATAAGAATCATGGAGAGCCACTTTGTAAAAAACAATTAGAGACACGGGTGCAGAGAAATAGGGGTTCCTTGCCACATACTCCTTGGTTTCTTCTTGGAAGTCTTTGCTTGGGCACAAGTTTGCTTATATTTTGTGATGGTTCTGCTCTTAGGCCATTCGGAAGATGGGCGAGGGCAATGGGAACGGGAAGGCTCCAGTGCTGGGTTGTGGAATGAGTGCGTTCCAGAAAAAACTACTTGTGGCGCAAAGGCAGTTTGCTTGTGTATGATCCAGCCTTTTATCATCTTTGTTTTTCAGAATCTTGGATCCGGATGTTTTTTCAGGTCTCCGGCGTTTTTTTCGGAATCCGGCGGAACATTTTGCCGGATTGAGGTCCGGCACTTTTTTCCGCCCAAAGGAGGATCCAGGTATAAGCTTCAAAAAGATCCTGAAAGCATGGGAAATCAGTGGCGTTGGCGGTCTTCGTCGCTTTAAAGGAGTGTTCTCGTGAACGTTGGCCATTGGCTCAACGGACAGCCATGTCGTTTTCTTCCGACCAATGACCAGGAATCTGAATCGACTGACCACCAGGGAATGCGTTCGACGTGACTTCCAGGGGTCAACCATGACAGCCATGACAGCGACATCCTTTCGATGGCAAAAAATCGCATGGCGTTGGATTGGAGCCTCAAACCATGCTCCAAACTCAGCTCCAAACTGGCTGACGGATGCTGACGGCAGCCGAGGATTTGTTCTTCGACATGACTTCATCGGCAGCCCTGCGTGCTGGCAGTGACCTGGTGGTGGAAGCTCGAGGTGCGAGATCCGACAGACGTGACAGACGTGGACCGGACACCTGGAGGGGGCCATTGGGGTAGTGATTTCCCTATAGGTTGGAGGTATTAAGGGGGAGGATGGCCAAAAACAACCATAACAACTAAACGATGTGTTTCTACAAAAGTGTGTTTTTTTTTTGGGGGGGTCAACATGAGTCAACATGGGTCAACTGCTCAAGGATCAGCTGAGCAACGATCCTAAGTGATCAAAGCTTCCCGCCACATGACTTGTTGCCAGTTGCTTATATAGATGTTATTTCAATACAATTGTTGTTTTGATAGGATGTCTTCGATTTCCCGTGCGTCAGGTGCTGGTCAAACTGGATTCAAGCTGTTCCGCCCTCGGAAGAACGCCTCAACATGTTGGACGCCTTTCGATGCCGGAACGGTATAAATTCATTGCTTAATTGTCAACTGCAAGCTGTCACTGGGCCATGCTCTATGATTCTTTATGGCTTGCTAGCTGTTGGCAGGTCGATAGTTTGCTTCCACTGCTCGTAGCACATGTCATGTTCATCCTAAGATATTGCCATGCGGCTCAAGGTTGGTGCATCAGTGTTCGTTCTCTCATCCTTCTGCTAAACCTCGGCACTCCGAGGTTGAGCGAGACGGCTGCAATTTGGACTTTGAATGCAGATGGAGTCCCAGCCTCAGTGCAGATGGATGCGATGCGGTCCATTTTGGTGGAGCCCACGGGACCCGCCGACAGGATTTCGACAGCAAGCTGGGTGAATGGTACTGCACGGGCATGCCTGGGACTCAGTGGTAGCATTTCGATGCCGTTGGGCAAAACGAGAGACCCAGCGACTGCAGAGTCCTCAAGATTTGTTCCCCAGGAAAGAGCCTTGTGAAAATGATCCTTTTACTGTAGTCTTGGTGAAAACCCTCCTAGATTGCTGAGAGATGTGTCAACGACCTCAAAAAGCAATTTAGTATAATTTAGCTTCACACAGCTTTCAAACATGGGCATAGCTGCAGATCCGCTCTAGGATCCATGTGCAATCATGTGCATGTCGGGCTCCTCCACCGTGTTCGTTGGTGCCCGGTCCCCAAGCTTCCGGCTTGCGCTGGACCCGCGGACCCGCTTGGTTCTGGGTGAGGCGAGACTTGTTTGACCCCGAGAACGAGACAGCTGTGAACCTGTCCAAGGTGGGGGTTTCACACTGAGCTGCGGCCCTGTCGAGCTAGTCTCAATGGATCAAGTGGATGAGAAACTTGATTGTTTAGGTGGGGATGATTCATGATGATTCATGATCATCCTTGTTGGTGGACCCCACTTACTGTAAGCAAGCTTGCAGGATTTTCTGAGGCTCTAGTTCCCAGCTGCGAACGCCCTTCAGGGGTGGGCAATGGGCAGAGAAATGTCTTGCAAGAACGTCTGAATCGAAGGTCAAGTCCGACGTTCCAGACTGAGTGCAGTGGAACGAAAGGTCATGACTCAGCCGCGCCAGCGGGTCCTTGGAGCGAAACGACTCTTGGTCCAGCCGCGAAAGCGGTCACTTCTGTGGTCACCTTTTGAATCAGGCTCAGAGCTGGTCGTCTAAGGATTCATTGACACGCAGATCAGAGTTCCGTCAAGAAGACCCTTGGGAAAAGGTTGGTAAAGGAAAAAGAAATGGTTGAACAACTCATGGGTTTAGGGTGTTTCATTCTGTTTGGGGGCTCTCACCGTCACACTCCACACGGACCCCAAGGTAATTTCAGAGTGCCGTTCTTGTCGAAAGTCGGACATCGTGCATTGTCGTGCCACAACTCCGAACCGAACACCAGGAGATCTACCTGCCGCATCCTTCTGCGTGTGAATGGGATGAGACGCGAAGGGACATGCTGAAAAACTTGGATCGCAGCCACTTCGACGAAGATGGTGGGGTTGGAGAAGTGAGCCGAAGGGACATGGTTTGTTTGCGCAACAAGATGTGAGAAGAGCGAGGGGGTGAGAAGAGCGAGGTTTTAAGTCCATTGGACCAATGAGGAAGACTGCCCAAATCCAGATGTCACCTTGGCAAAGAAGGTCACAGTGCACGAAAACAAGTCATATTATAATATCATATCATTATATTGTAATAGGAAAATCGGATCAGTTTGCCAGCCAAAGCGCAAAGCGCCCTCAGGTCTCCTGCCAGATACCTTCCGAAATCATTGTCTCTTCCAAAAACGCTATGGTTTCAGTTCTTGAAGTTGAGAGATGTGCATAATATAGTAATATATAAATCTATAACGATCCTGGGATACTTAGAATTTTGGTACATGTCAATTCCGCGGCCCCCAATAAATATATAATGTTTCTGTATCCCGGCAGCCGAGACCCCAAACAGTGTTTTGAGGTCTAGAGGTCTAAGGTCTAGAGCTTTAGACATATTGGGCTCCACAGAGATCTAGAGGTCTTGAGATCCAGCAGAGAGATCTAGAGGTCTAGAAAGATCTAAACGCCTAAACATCCAGAGAGATATGTCATAGATCTAAAGGCCTAGAGATCCAGAAGGAACTAGACGAACTAGAGGTTTGGAGGTCTAGAGGTCTAGAGATCTAGCTGCCTAGAGCTCTTGAGGTCCACCTAAACTGTGGACCTCCAATTCCGTATTCTACGTACTTCAGGTTTGCTATACATGTTAAATCACACGTCACCGGGTCTCGACATTCCGGGCATATTTTTCTTCGCACAGCTGAGGTGAGCCAACGGCTGAGCGCATCGCCAATGTGCCCGAGAGCTTAGATCAACTGCTTGCCCAGAAACGAGAGAACGTCACCAAAGAGACCACGACCCACAAGTTGTGATTCATAGAGACCTAGGTGCCCTAAAGTTATTCTAATGTGTTTGCCACGTTCGGGAAGGAGGGAAGGTGAACTGCAAAGGCAACTGTTCAATTGCTAGGTGTGGTCTAGTGTGCCGCAGCTATACAATGTGTTTCTGTTCTTTCTCAGCTTGTAGGCTTCGCCCCCTACGACCTGAGGGGTTCTGCACATGTACTGCATTGATCAGACATGGACTTGATGCGGCAGCTCAAGGAACAGCTTTCCACATGACACAGCTGTCCATTTTCTCTTAGTTTTTAGACGCGACAAGAGATCCTCAGTTGCCCCCTGTCCTGCGCCAACCACAAGGAAACGGGTGTTACAACTTCTTTGCTAGCAAGTTTGGACACCTGCTTCCCTGCTGTTACTATTCGACATGATTGCCCACACAACCCAGGTCAAGACCAATTTCTCCTCCCCCAATCCTTCACACCATTGAAAACAAAAAACATTTCTTCCAAGATATGAGATAGACTGAGATAGACAAAAACGTGGTTCCTTCATTGTAGCGGTAGCAAGCCGCTGTGGGTCTGGTAGCTGGTATAGCTGGCACCCAAGAGCCCTGCCAGGGTGGTGTTGAAGATCTCGCAGGGTGCTCCTGTGGAAAGCCGGCTGCGGCTCATCTTCAAGGCTCTCCGGAACGAGTCTCATGTGTGTTGACGACGCGGGTGGCTGTGGTATGCTGAAGGGAGACCCTGAAGAAGGTGCTATAGACTATAGAGTAGGGCCGCTGCCTCGACATGCTTGAGTTCAAAAGGAGCTCCCTCCCAAGATGTCAGTGTTGAGTTATGCCACGCTATGCAAATTCATCAAGAGCATTGTGATACAGCACAATACAGATGTTGTGCGTCCAGCAGAGGAAGGTTAATCCCCCGTCTCCCGTTAATTCCCACAGCCGGTACACGGCCCTTTTTTGCAGCAAGTTCTTTGTCTACAAACAATATTAATTAATGGAACTCATTCCTTGGCTTTGTACTGCCCTGAACATGTCGCCATCACTCACGACCTTTAAGTCGACACGAACCTCAAAAAAAGAACCTCGACTGGTTGGCGATGGTTGTTGGATGTTGGTTGTTATCGGGCTGGTTTGCCTCTGACTGCTCTGAACGGTTTCAATATCTTTCAACATTGCCCCCCACGCCCCCCTCGCGTACCCTCCCACCTCCCCCTCTTCGAGGTGCAAACGCCCAGCGACCGAACCACCTTCTTGCAAGAACGCGGGAAGTCTCAGACCGAGAGTCGAGTCGGAGTCCGGTTGGAGAGGAGGAAAAGGTGTGACCAAACGTGGGTTTTGACCAGGATCTTTTGGTCGCAGTATGTAGGTTTCAAAGAATCGGAAGCTAGAACGAAGTAGTGGAGATAGCACAGATCTTCATTTTGTGACTTTGCACCTCAATGGGGTGTTCAAAGCTCAAGCAAATTCGAAGAATTTGCATGTCCTTTTCAGAGGCTTGGTGCAGCAGATGAGTTGATCCGGCTAACACAGAAAATGTCGATGCAACAGATGCCCGACTCACCCGAGATAGTGGATGCATCAATGGATTGACTTGCCAACTGATGACCGTGAACCCAACTCATAACCGGACATGTGGATGCGGCATTGGCACGCATGAAGCCAAGCTAACAGGGTCAAATCCACCCCCAACACCACGTCGGGTTGGTCTTCGGAAAAGGGTCGAAACCACAGGTCAATTCTCAGGTTCCACGAGTGTCTGGGGTTAACGAAGAACATCTGGTTCACCTCTGAGGTCAACATCCGGTTCCATTCAGGTTAACTTCCACAGGTCAACTCTCACGGTTATTGTGAAGTTTGTCTCAGATAACTACTCTCATCACATCGAAGCAGACACATTCCATCAGGTTGGTACATCGAAGTTCAGCTCATGGACCACAGCACCGGCATGCTGAACCTGGTGACCACCAATGATGGTGTGCCTTGACATTCTTAGAATTGGTTGTGGATGTGAAATCACAGCAAGATTGCCCAGGCATTGCATCCCTACTGAACATGAACGTGGACAAAGCTTAAATTGTTGTTGTCTAGGAAACCCAGTGGGATTAACTAATTATTGTTTTGTACTTGCTAAGTTGGTGAATCGGCAGTGCAAAAGTAGAAACACACTGATAGCTGTGTTGCCTCATTCCAGTGATGATTGAAACCTGTTTCGGCAGACCTTGACAGACGGATCCTTGCAAGGTGGTGGGTTTTTGTCTTGTTCCAATTTTCCCTGTGGCACGCCCGAACCCCCCCCAAATCATCCCAAATCCTCAATCCTTGGAATCTTCATATATCCTCATCCTCGGCCCGCGAAGCTTTCGTTGAGCGGCGTTAGGGATCCGGGCGGCCCGTGTTGGGGTGGACGGAGGATGCCCGCTGTGACGCTCCTCTGCCGCCCCCTTTGTGAGGTTCAAAGCCCGAAAACGTTCCCGAAGTCAGACGGGCCTCCCCATTGGGCCTCGACCATGAAAAGACCCAAACGGTCAGATGTTCAGGCCGGTGGATCCCAGTGACCACAAAATTAAGGAACCGGAGTTCGTAGGTCTACTGTTTTTGTATGTTTTTGTCTTGGGAACCACTGGGTATCCACATGTATCCACTAGTTACTTACTACTAGTGGTAACTGGATCCACTAGGAAGGTGTTGCTCATGCTCTTCAGATTCAAAAGCACAATCGCGCAACAAAAGCAACAAAACCCCCCTGGACACCATATTGTCTGGAATGCTTTCTGCCAAAGTCTTCCTACTGCAAGTAAGACTATACTGTTTGATGGAAAACATTTAGCACCTCTCATGCCCCACACCGCGAAATACGCTTTGGGACTCACGGAACCCACCCGCCAAGCCGCCGAACGGAGCCGAGCCGCTCCCGCAGGGCCCCGTGCCACTCTCGGTGGTCACGCAGCTTCCCACGGAGCCGCCCCCGGAGCCCTCACACGTGGCGCCCCTGACACGAGTGGAGGTGCCGGGACAGGAGGGGGATGAGGGGCGAAAGCGTGGAAACCTCTCCGTTTCCCCGCGGAGCGAAGCGAAACGTCGCGAAGAGAAGCTATGGTGGAGTCTGGGGGAGTCTAGGTGTGTGGCTCAGACTCTGTGAGGATCTAGGGGCCTCAGACTTTGCTTGGAAACCAACATGGCTTGAAGGTTCGTTTGAATTCCCCCGCCACTTGTTCCAGAGACCCAATCCTTCCAGAACACACCCTTATCGCATGCCCCCTTCCTCAGCATTGAAGATGTTTCCCTTTGAGGGTTGGCACGATGCCTGCCGCGCAGGGCGAGCCGTGCGACGCACGGCCTGCCCCGCAGGTGCTGTTCCAGCTGGACCCTTTGGACACGGGTGCAGAGGCTTTTGCCCTGACTGCACCGCCCGGGAAGCTCAGCGGTGCTGTAAAAGGACTGGTCAATATGCTAGTGATCACCCAGAATGCTTGCTGATCATCGCTCAGCAATATAATCTAGCAAACCGTGGGTGAATATATGTATATATATAATTATATATATATATATGTGTGTGTGTGTTCGCCTCTTGTTCTAATTGTACATGTTTAATAAATCCAACATCAAGTGCACAGATTGCACCATCCTTGTTGTTTTTGTCTCGTGCCAAGTCGAGAGCACAACCATTCCACACTGGGTCTATGACTGATCTATATAGCTAGACACAGAGGCTCCATAACAAGCACAAAAGAGGTGTCTCTTGATGAGTGATTGGTGGATGTCAGCGTAGGGTAGTGCGGCAAAGCTAACAAGTTGCTTCGTGACTTGTTCATTCATACTTGTTCTATGATCTGATCTACTGTATACTAGTACTGGAACCCATTGACGCAGGTTCCCAAGGAAGTATGAAACGACCTGCTCTTCCCCACAATATAAGCTATCCCTACAATCCTGCAAGAGGGTTGTGAAGCTGACATGACAGAAAAGCCATTTTCCATACAGTGTTTTGGTTTCTTGAAGTTTCCTGGTAGGGTATTGAACAAATGATGACTGTTGGAGAGGAGCTTTTGCAGCTGCGGATTCCACTTTCGCTTTCGCGGCATGCATGCAGCAGCCAGCTTTAACCTCCGCCAAGCATCAGACGACGGCCGATCATCGGACATGGACAAGTGAAGGAAGCAACAGAGCGGGGCCCTGTCATTGAATGGTAGGTTGAATTCTTGGAAAGCAAGAATTAGGGTGTTGAATTAGCGTGCATAATTAGGGTGTTGAATTCAACATCATTCCATCCGGCACTTGTTTGATTTCACCGGGCTAGAGGCCTTGACACCAACCAGGCCACCGCTCCGTAATTTCGACGCAGAAAGCGCTCGGGATGCCGCGGCCGGACGAGCGCGGGAGCTCTCGCGAGAGGGAGGACCTCACAGCAGGGCTTTGGGCGTTGCGACAGCAGCAGGTGGGGCAACACTCACGCGGGTGCGGGTGGGGTGAGGTCAAACATGGAACGAGAACTGCCAGGAATAGAAAGCAAAGATTCTAAGATACTGACAAGACCAGTTGTTGTGTTTATGGCATATCAAAGCCTGGATGGGCTGAGGGAGGAGACACTCCACCAGGAAGGACACAGCTGGGGTGCGACTCTTTCGTTGCACTCATTTCAGAGGTCATTGGAGTATGTTGATCTCGTTGGACCATGTTTGGTCGAGCAGGTGTAGTCCTTCGCTTGGAACCCGGATCGAATTGGTTCCAAGTCATGGAACTCGGTTCCCTTTTCTGGGGATTTTGCTCGTGACCAGTCACTTTACCTGGGATGCTGGTCTTCAGAAGCGGAGGTGAAGGATGAAGGATGAAGGTGAGGGATAGCGGGGAAGCATGCGATGAGATCCAAAGGAAGGTGACATCTTTGGGATCCACTTGATGTCGGGACATGTTGGGTAGTTAGCTCCAAGAAGGGTCTATCTACCTAGTTCTCCTGCTGGTGTCAGGTCGTCTAAGAGAAGCGCGAGAAAACAGACTGCTGATATACAGAGAGTGTTTTGCTTTGACTCCAACTTTGCAGGAGGAATCACTTGCAGTCATCGACGCTTTGCTACGAAAAGCCCTTCCAGAAGAACCGGCTGAGAACAATCTTCTCGTGAAGGCCGGAAGAAGGGCTGCTCATGAGATTGTAAAATTGCTTAAACTTAATTAGAAGATGGTCTTGCAAGGATTTGGCTTCGGGTTCTCTAAGTGTTTGTGACAACTATAGTGTATGTCCTTTTTCGATGTACTTCCTTTTGGGTGACATGCTTAAGAGGAACCAACATGAAACAGGCTTTTTGTCCAAGACATCAGGAACCACCCCTTTCACCCCCTTCGGAAAAAAGAGAGAAGGGTTTGCTTTCAGCGTTGCTTTCAGCGTGTGTTCAGCTGAGCATGTCCTCGCGTGTGTTGTCTCTACCTCCTGCAGGAGGTCCAGATCGACCAAGCCGATGAGGAGTCCAGCAAAGAGGGTCGGGAAAACGGCCGTCGACGGTCCGGAGTCCGTGGTACCGGTTTCACGGTCCGAGACACTGTCCGGTGGCGCTGCAAGTAGGACGAAACGAAATATACACATGTTCTCTCAGGCTTCCACCTGTCCCAGAAGTTTGCAACATGCTTCAGGCAATGGCAAGAGCCTGAAGAAAGTGATGCTTGGCGATTCTGAGAGTTTGGTGAAGACTTCTATGACCTCGCAAATGAGAATTTCATGTCATGTATCATGTAGAATGTTTCGCGGTATGTAGACTTTGAAAGGGGATATCCATGGATATCTTGTTCTTGCCAGATCTTGCCAGCCCAGAGCGTCCGTGTCGGTAATCCAAATAGACATATAATACCAGACCATGGCCACGACTACATACAGTATTTTCTTCCGTATGGTGTAGAAGATTGCTTTGTTGTGCAAAGGTCCTAAGACTGCCTAAGAGAAAAGACACACACACACACGGTTCACTGGTCGTGAGACCAAAGCCATTCAACCAGTCGCTTGATCACCAGCTTGGGTAGTTGCTCAGGAAAACTGGCTTTCTATCTGGAGAAGGCAGCTGGGCACATCAATCTGTGGATTGTGATCGCAGCCTTGTGCAGAGGGCACCCAATGATGTACGGCATATGAATTACAGTTGACATCGACCCCCTTTCAACCAGTCCAACTGATTGGTTCATCTCCCATCCCCAAAAAAATGTTCACCTTCCAAGTCAAGCCTGTTTTCTACATTTTGACGCTTGGACATGGCTTCTGCCAGTCCCGGAATCACCAGAGATCGCACTTCGGGCAAAGAGCATCAGAAGAACAACGCATCGGCATCGCTCTGTGTTCTTCTTTGGCGTGTTTTTGGCCATCCCACGCGGCTCGAACTCCCGAGGCTCCCAGTTCCGGGAGCTGATGGATGACGGGAAGACCCTAGACATCGAGAGCAAAACCTGGGGCGATCGCTGCCGCTGGTTGGACGCTTGGCGCGCGGGGCGATGGGGGCGATGGGGTGAGGGTGAGGGCGACGCTGGTTTGTCGCGGGGTTTGGAGCAAAACTGTTGGATGCCTTGCTTTACCGGTTTCGGTGTGGAGATGTGTGGAGTGTTGGCCGGCATGTGACAGTGAGGTTGGGATGGTTGGGAGGTGACATTCCAAAAATGATGGTTATAGTATCTTATAGTTATTTTGTTATTTTATGGGCGGAGGACGTGATGCCTGCCAATCGGTTTTGGAGAAGTTTGTTAGTTCCACTCAGAATTGGTACCGAATTGGTGAGCCGGCCATTTTCTGGCCAAATGGCGTTGGGTAGTTTTGAGTCTAAGCAAACCACCTCAAATACATGGGCACATGAGCTGATCATTCTTAGCAGCTTTAAAAGTCGATCTATGAATATTTGAATATCATTTCGGAATCCATTAAAATGTGTGTTTCACGATTCACTTAGCTCGTAGCCCTTCAATCAAGCAAGCATTTGTGCTTTTGATGCCTATTGCCTATATCATATTGCGAGCAAGCGGCTTGTGGAAGCGCCTTGTGAAGTTCATCTACCAAGGTCAGCAAGCCACAGTTCGATTGGTTCATGGGCACCTTGGCACCGTGAGCCGCGTGACCGGCGGTAACGGTCGGCCGGTCGGCTGCGGTTTCGTCCGTGCGATCGAGGCCTCCGAGTCGTTTGGGGGGTATCTGTGCCACACTCCCAGACCATCCATGCGACTGGACATACATTTATTTTATATACCCCATTTATATATTTATATATCCATTTATGACCCCAATGTAAGTAACTATACATGGGTGCTTTGGGTTTTGATGATATATGGATCCTCAAGAAGCGAAGTCATGGGATGCATGGGAGCAGTGTGGGTATATATTAGCAGGTGTGATGTTGGCAAGGATGACCTTTTGCTTCGATATCCAACCTCGCTTTTGCCCCTGGCCTACCTGAGTAGTGGTGGTCCAACCAAGAGTTTCTCTTGAAATCTCTTGAAGAAGGTCTAAAGGAACAAAAAGCTTGCCTGCAAGGATGGGCGACCCTCGCCTAGTGATTCTCTTGGTGACTACCAAGCCCAGCGTCATAGGCGCAATGGTCTGGTTCCTCAAAGTTCGCTCGGGCTGAACCCCGGCACGTGGGCCTGCCGCCCTTGTTTTGCTTTCGACCAAGTCTCTTTTCACATCATCCGCTGGTTGGAGCCTTCCCGCAACTCCATACAGTACAAGCAGCAGCTCTCACTATGTTCACAGCCACTATTCAATGATCCACCTCACAAAAAATCCGCCTGCCAACCTGTCACCATTTGTCACCCATGTTGGAGTCGTCGAACTTAAACCTGTGTGTGTGTTCCTCGCAGGTTTCATTATTTTCTTGAACTCCATTTGCATTGGAATTGACACGCAGCACAACATCGACATCAGCCAGTCGCCCTTTCCCAACTGGCCGGGAGAGGCGGACCGGTCGGGAGACGAGAGTTCGACACGAAAGGAACAGCGGAGAAAGACCAGTTGTTTGGGATGTTCTATATCAACAGATCGACTTGATCATGACTGATCACTGTATCGTGTCACTGAACTTGGCCTTTGATATCTTTGATTTTGGTTCCCAAACGCAGCTAATGGTTCAACAAATAGAGCTGGCTGGATGAACAACGAGGGTGCGGATTGATGTATCGATCGCTAGGGCCAACCAATTACACTGTTGTCGCCTTGGCTTTGCAGATGGTGGTCCATATTCATTCACGGACTTTGAGGGGTCAGGTCTTTCGTTGGAGTGGTAAATGGCTATACATAGCACATACGCTCCACAAGCCGGTGGGTTTTCTGACTGCGGGGGAACCAAATACGAAATGGACGCAGGCTTCCAGCAATTCAAAGAAGTCACAAACATCACACTGCCTCTTGTGACTTGTGGGAGGGTTTTTCTATTTGGGAAGGAAGTCA